TAACAAATATAAAAACTCTAAATAAATATATCCATAGTTCCATACAATAGTCTCAAATCTTAAAAAAATATGAAAAAAATGATATTATATAAATAGGATAAAAAATTTAAAAAAATTTTAAAAAAAAGGAACCGGGACGGGATGACCCCGTCCCGTGTCCCGTCCCGTCCCGGTCCCTTTTTTGTCTTGTCTCGAAAAATTTCGGGACAGATCCGTCCCGTCCCAATAAGACCGGGACCAGAATGAGCCGACCAAGACGGGCCGGTCTTGAACACCCCTACTCTAGATAATATAGTACTTAAACATTCTATTGACTGATTCCATCAAATAATTCATGTCTCATTGGGAGCTAAGAAAAATGGCAAAATATTAAGAATGACGAGGGAAGAAACCAAAAAAAAAAAAAGAAGAAGAAAAATTTGGTGACATATCTTACAAACAAAGCAAGCCTTGTTATATTATATTGGAATCACATTCTGTAGTGCTTCAGAGTTCAGCGTTGACAATATTTCTTGTCACATTTGTTGGTTTCTTTCCTGAATCCACTTGGAAGAACCCATGGATTAATGGATATGGTACATTACTTTCACATACTTATTTCATATTCAGTAAATCATGATTAAAAAATTGCTTATATGTCATTTTAAATGGGCTTTTATTTTTATTTCAAACTCATTATAATCTTCAATTTCATTTTCACATTTCATCAACCCTATGCGTCATTAACATTATGGCTTAGATGGAAAACTGAAGTTTCTAGAGTTATCCTATTTCCGCTTCACATGCAAATAAATCATTTTTCTGGCATCTATGTTTAGCAAATTTATTAAATATGTTGAAAAACAAATAAACTTGCATGGAGCCCAGCAAACACGCATGAAAACCCCTCTCAAAATTTCATATTTCAAGTAGTAAGAAGCAACAGCAATTTTCCTAACGGCCTTTGTATGATGTCTGAAAACGAACCAAATAACTCTATGTTCAATCAAAACAATATATATGCCTTTCATCAAAGGAAGTGAAACGGTTCGATATTGAATAAGCAGGCTCTCCCACACCACTCCATAATTATTGTACCACCAACACAAAAACCAATGAAAACCACCCCTTCGTGTGGACCAATCAAAGGTTTATAAGTTATATAGATAGATATAATAGATATATTTTTATTTATTATGTTTCTACCATCATCACATTAAAGTGAGAATGAAATGATTAATCACTAAAACATTACACAACAAAATTTTTTGTCCTAATAAACTGCTTATTTAATATAAACATAAAATAATTAAGCACAATGGTTCCAAAGGGTTATTTGTGGCTGAAAGATAGTAAATTGCAAATTGCATAATCAATTTTTTTTTTTTTGTGGCCAGGCATAACCAACTATTGACCCCTCTAATTGTTATACATATATATCATCAAAACAAAACACAAACACATTTGTTTCACGCGTGATGAGGATGAAAGGCAATACACCATCTGGTGATATGTGACCAGCAAGCTGACCTTTCAACTTCAAATGATTCTTTGCAAATTCTAAGTGTCCATCACAAGAGCAAGAGAAAGCATTAAATTGGCTAGTTCAAAATACACTGACAAAACGAATGGCAATCAGAGCATCAAATCAGATTGAAAATGATGAGGCCGTCACTAATTTTATTTGGGCTGAAAATGGTGCTGGTGAACATACTTTCGACTTGGAGACTTCAATTTAAAAGGGTTGGATCAAGTCTTATACATGAAAAGACTCATTTGGGCGTAAATAATACTCCCTCCGTTCCTTATTATAAGAGACATTTGATGCTTATAGCATGTTTCTAAATATAAGAGACACTTAAAAGTTGTCTCTACTTTTTGTGTTGATTTCCTATTTTACCCATATTTATTGTCTCCAACTCACACTCTCTCTCCTTCCCACTTCTCTTTCTTTTAAGAATTTACTATTGTTCTCTCTCATGCTCTCTCTCCTTATTAATGAGGGTATTTTTGAAAAAAAAAATTATACTTTTTACACATTAATTGTTCTTAACTAATTTTAACTGTTTTTTTGATCAACGTAATTCGGTTATTCGTCTCTTATAATAAGGAACGGAGGGAGTAAGATTTTAGGCTTAATATGCTGATTATATTTTATTAATTATATTTATGCGAAAATTACTAATTAGTTGGTAGATTTGACTTTTGAGTTTTCCAAGTGAGTTGTATCAAATCTTTCTAATTTCTTTTAAGTTAGTATTTAATATTATGAGTCTCTAGGTTGCATTAAATGTTTTAGGGTCAGATTTAAATGTATCTCTTTAAAACACTTTGAACCCTTCATTTTGTATTTAGACTTGTTTTTGAGAAATCAAATGTTGCATTTTTGCACTTCCAAACTTGAGAATAGATTCTCTATAGGGTTCTTCATTGAACTAGCTGACTTATTAAGGCTTGATCAGCCTTGTGGCGTCTTTTATCACTTCGGGTCTTCGTTTTTTTGTGCTCAAGGGTTCAAGTGGATTACCAGACTTTTGTTTAGTTTTTTTGGGTGAGTATATTTCAGATTTGTTATGGGTTCGTGGGATCTTTCCTTGTGGGTGCACGCCATCCAGTCCATAATATAATTGATTGATTTGAATAGATCAAGAAAATTAGTTATGTTAGTTATTTATAATAAATAGATATTGTCTTCTCTAAAATATCATTGCTAATTAAATATATTTATTAGAACTACCATATTACAAGGACTATCTTAAAAAAATAGACAAATATAAGAAACAAAATGGATTAAGGTCTTATATTTAGGACCAAAATAAAAATTAAACAAGCTCTTATATTAAAGATCAAAGGTGTTACATCAGTAGCCAGAAAAAGTTGTGGAGAATGAAATATTTTAAAAGTTTTCAGCTAGGAAGAAATATATATATATATATATATATATAAAAAAGGAGGTCGTGTTCGGCAAATCAGCACTTGCTTAAAGTTCAATAAGAAAAAAAAGATTTGACAGGTTGTGGGCAGAATGTGACTTTGTCAATTATTAAATTGCAAGAATTATGCATACAGTTCACAAATAAGAAAATGAAGTATTTTCTTAATCTATTTTGCATGTCAAACTTCTATATTTGTAAGTAAATAGAACCTGTGGAGAACTAATTTTTTTTATTCGAGACTTGCATATGTGATTTTTCGAATTAAATCCAAGGTCTGCATGTGACCTTTCGCCTCCTCCATCAGCCATGCCGAAAGGTTAATGTTGACAATGGATGATTATGCTCGTATATAAATAACAAAAATATTACCTATAATAAACTAATTGAACAGCATATGGTCTTGCGCAGGGGTTAGGTGAATAGAGTTCAAATCTCCACTAGAAAAGGTACTCGTATTCAGTACTTGATAATATCTTGAATAGAATTACTTCTAATAAAAAAAAAAATATCTGCACTTAGCAAGACTAATAAACTAATTGAATTCGGCTTTAATCGGCGTTAGCAAACATTTGAACCAGGCGTGGAGCGGAGACACACATTCGTATATGGACAATTTGCCAGCTACGCCAGATGCTCAATTACGAATAAATTCTTGATCTAGCTAGTGGGAAAAGAACAATTATATCAATGGCAATTACTATAATATGTTCTGATAGTATTATAACCGATGCTGCTGGTTTTGATTTTTAAAGGGGTGTTTGGGCGATAATAAAGAGCACTTTTTATGTTTTCATATTTATCAAGACAAAATTTTTCACATACTTATTATTATAAAATTACTTTTAAAATCATAATCTGGTTTCCATCTGAATGCTCCTAAGTATCATTCAGGAGAGTTTCCATATTGGCAGTTAGCTTCTTCACTTGCAGGTATATACAGTTCTATCAGAGAAGCCATTAATTAATATTACCTCCGGTCCTTAATATAAGATATTATTTGACTTTTATTTTAGTCCTAAAATAAGGCCTCAATCCACTTTGTCTTTCATATTTATGTATTTTTTTCAAGATAATCGTTATAGCAATGATAGTTCCAACCAATACACTTGATTAGTAAGGATATTTTAAGAAAGACAACACCTATTTATTACAAATAATTAACTTAACTTTTTTCCTTAATATCCTCAAATTAGTCAACTAGCTCTTATAATTAGGTCCGGAGATAGTATTATATTTAATCAGATAGTATAGAGCTTAAACAGGAATCACTCTCCTCATTTTCGGGTCTCAGACAGTAACAAGACGATATATAATGCCAAAGCTAGTTAACTTCACATGCATGCAATTTTTGGAAGACGAATAAAAATATATATAATATATACTCCTCCAGTCCTTAATATAGGACCTAATTATTAAGTTGATTTTGGTATTAAATATAATACCTATTTCTTATATTTATCAATTTTTTCTAAATTATTCTTATGGATACTCTCTCAATCATAATCAAGTAGAAGAGAGAAAGAGGATATTAAGAAAAATGATTATGGTGTTTTAAAAAAAACATGTCATATTTATTATAACTAACTAACTTATCTAACTTCCTTAATATAATCAAATTAGTTAAATAGGTTTTATATTAAGGATTCGAAGAGTACTATATATCCACAAACCGGCCGATAGGAACTGGAATATACCCAAGACTCTGGTTATTAGCACCAAACCAATGATCTCCCTCTTTAAAACCTCTTCTTCTTCGTCTCTCGTTATACGCAAAGGCCATATATAGTAGCACGAGCACCAACACAATCACCATGGCAGAAATTTCCAGGCCTCTCAATGTCTACTTCCTGCCTTTCTTGGCACAAGGCCACATGATCCCTTTCTGCCAATTTGCGCGGCTCTTCGCTGCACGTGGCTTGCACGTGACCATCATCACCACCCCTGTCAACGCCCGGTTCCTCCAAAGCTCCATTGAAGAAAGCAACGCCTTGGGCCACCATATCCAACTTCACACCGTCAGATTTCCCTCCGATGAAGTAGGTCTCCCCGGACGGCATCGAGAACTTCTTCAATGTCACAGATGCCCCCACTGGTCATAAACTTTACGAGGCTGCAGGTTTGCTCAGAAATCAAGTGCAGCCTTTCATGGAGGAAAACCCACCCGATTGTATCGTTTCGGATTTTATGTACCCGTGGACAGCCCCGATAGCTACCCGTTTGGGGATTCCCAGGATTGTGTTCAACTCCTTTTGTCTTTTTGCTGTGTGCATGATCAGTGCGCACAACAGACAATTACAGTCACTACCGCCGGGATTATGCAATGATCATGATGGTGATAATTCGGGTGGTCCGTTTGTGGTTTCGGGTCTTCCCGAAACAATCACCCTCCCCCTTCGACCACCTAAGAGGATTTCTGAACTGCTCGGAAGCTTGATAGAGGCTGATCAGAAGAACAGCTATGGGCTAATTGTGAACAACTTTAACGATCTGGACGGTCAAGATTACATCAACTATCACCAGAAAAGCACCGATCTGAAGGTTTGGCACATTGGTCCTGCTTCTCTCATGTTACGAAACATACTACCAAAAGAAGATCTTCATCCACAAACCAACAACGAGCATGATGAACTCATAAGGACATGGCTAGATTCCAAGGAATCTAATTCTGTTGTTTACGTAAGCTTTGGCAGTCTGTGTCGTTTCGATGACCCTCAACTGTTCGAAATAGCTTGTGGATTGGAGTCTTCTGGATGTTCCTTCATCTGGGTCGTGCACAGGGAATCCAAACAGAACAACGAAGAAGAAGAAGAAGCAGAAGAAAAGAAAACGTGGCTGCCGAAAGGGTTTGAAGGGAGGATGAAGAAGGAAAACAGAGGGTTGATCCTCATGAAATGGGCGCCACAGGAGTTGATACTGAACCATCCGGCGACCGGTGGGTTTCTGACGCATTGCGGGTGGACGACAGTGACGGAGGCGGTGAGCGCCGGGGTTCCGATGATGACGTGGCCGGTATTCGTCGAGCAGTTCTACAATGAGAAGTTGATAACGCAGGTGCACGGGTTTGGAGTGGAGGTTGGGGCAGAGGAATGGAACTCCGGCCCTTATGATAGAAGGGACAAGGTGGTGAATAAGATGAAGATAGAAAATGCTGTGAGGAGGTTGATGGACTGCGGAGAGGAAGGTGAGAAGGTGAGAAGGAAAGCCATAGAGATGAGAGAGAAAGCTGGAAAAGCTGTGGAAGAAGATGGATCCTCACAAAGGAATTTGACGGCCCTGATTGAAGATCTTGAGCTTTTTTGCAAATAATGGATATAATTATTAAAGCTGGGAGATCGGGACGTTGTTTTTATAATATCTATTATTAGAAAGTCAACAATTAGTGATGTCTCTCATATGCAGTGATATCTGAGGAGAGTCATCAATGCATTTTTTAATGGCCAGGATATCACTTGATTTTGTAGGGAAAAATGAATTAATTGAATAAAATGGTCCTGAGTGTGAATATTAAGAAAAAGTTCTCTTTGGTTCAGACACATTTTAGTTAAGAGGATTTCATTGGAGGCTATGCTCATTTTACTTACTCTAGATTTTAAAGGAGGCTTATGAGTCCAAATAACGAAGGTGGATTAAGGATTGTACCCTCACTTGTCCTAAAAATGATGAAGAATCAAAATGGGGCTTTAATATAGGAAATTTAGACTAGACCTTTGATTGAATTTAACCTGATTTTAATGGCCGGAGTAGAATACACCTACCCCACATAGCCATATTAGGCTTGCATTTGTTTACATATTGATCTGATTAAGTAATTAAGCGCCTAAAAATTAAAGTTAGGGGTCAATAATATAATGGGGTTGCTCTTACCTAATGGCTCTGAAGATGCTAATAGATAATTAATATTTTAATCTAGATGCTGGATGAAGAAGGGTAGCTTATTGTTGGGGCAAAAGAACAAGTAATTGGAAGCCAATGATAGTAGTTTTAGATAAACCACCAATATTTTAACCTCATAGGAGTCTCGATCCATCACCAGGAATCTTTTGTCATCGTCTCTCAAAAACAATAACAGCTTTATATGTATAATGCCAAAGCCAGCTTCACTTGCATGAAGCTATTCCAAGACGAATACAAATAGAGTGTGCGTGCGTGTGTGTGTATCTCCATTAACCTGCGAATATGAACTAGAATATACCCAAGGCTCTACTTACTTATATATGTAGCAGCGAATAAAAATAGACTCCAGTTAATATGAAATGGGTCAAACTGTAAAACAACGCCACTGGACAGTGGTATTTAGAAACACTCTTCTCTTTAAAAGCTTGTCTTCTTCCTTCTCTCACACTATACATAAGAGCATATAGCAGCTAGCAGTAATCGCCATGATAGCAATTTCCAGACTTCTCAAAGTCTACTTTCTGCCTTTTTTGGCACAAGGCCATGAGGACATGGCTGGATTCCAAGGAATCAAATTTTGTTGTTTACGTAAGCTTTGGCTGTCTGTGTCGTTTCGATGACCCTCAACTACTGTTCGGAAGAACTTATGGATTGGAATCTTCTGGATGTTCCTTGATCTGGGTTGTGCATAATGTAATGTTTGTTGATTTAATTGTCCGCTTACTTGGCCTGAATTATGATGAATCTAATTGGGACTCATATTTTAGTGTTTCAGAGGAGCATAGAAATATAAGAAATTTAGACTAGACCTTTAATTGAATTTAATTTGATTTGATTGTAGGATTAGAATATACTACCTACCTTATATAGTCATGTTAAACTTGCATTTAATTACGCTTTCTAAGCAAGCACCCCAAAAATTAGGAGTTATTAATATGATTGGACTGATCTATCTTAATTAATAGCTCCGAAGATGCTAATAGGTAATTAAGGGGCGCTAGCAAATATAATTTTAAAATAGTCACTTTTCCACGTATTACCTAAGGCACTTGTTAAAAAGACCCTGTAAAAACTATACACACATATATATAATATGAAAACAAAGTAGATGGCACCCAATACAACCATTCAACCGGAGAAGAAAGTTCGTTAATTATTAGCTTTTCTTTGTCTATTTTTCACTGTGTTTGTACAACTCCAAGTTAGATATTTTGGGTTAATATCTTCTTAAATTTTGATTGTCTAGAATTTATTATTAATAATTGTCAAAAAGCTTCTAATTAACTAGCTTCTAACTTTTAAGCAATTCGGTTACTCTCCTTTCAGAAATTTTTTAGCATGACATCTTTCACGTGATGTAGAATTTCTCCTCTGTTCCCTTTAGGACTTTATAGGAAATTTTTTTACATACTCAACGTCTTTATCCTATTTCCTATTTTGTACTTTTAACTTATTTTTTCATAATAAATCATTTTTATCTTTTATGAAAAAAACAAAGTAGTGATAGCATAACCTTCAATGGGGCTCCCTCTCTCTCCATGTACATATAACTTCAATTTGTTAATTGCGGTATAATTTTTTTAATTAAAATTAAATTAAGAGTTCATATTTCTTTAGTTGTGAAGCCAGCCGCCAAAAATCATTATATGGACAATTTCGCTGGCAAGATGCTGGATGAAGAAGGAGTGCTTATTCTTGGAGCAAAAGAACAAATATTTGAGAAAGCCAATGATTAACCTTTCACACATCATCATCGCCAGGAATCTTTTGTGCAATGATGCTCTCCAAAGCAACTCTATTATCGGACAAGCCATAACCACCGTCGCTTGTAACTTTAATTACTACTCAAAAACAACATCTGGTTTGTATATATCATGCCAAAGCTAGCTTCACTGGCTTGCATGGAGCTATTCCAAGACGAATACAAATAGATTATATATGTGTGTGTGCGCGCGCGCACTAACCTGCGAATATGAACTGGAATATACCCAAGACTCTAGTTACTTATATTAGGATCAAACTGTGTAAAACTAATCCATTGGACTGTCGCATTTTGAAACCCTCTTGTTTTTAAAAGCTCGTCTTCTTCCCTTCACACTATACGTAAGAGCACCAATCGCCATGGTTGCAATTTCCAGGCCTCTCAAGGTCTACTTCCTACCTTTCTTGGCACAAGGCCATCTGATCCCTTCCTGCCAATTTGCTAGGCTCTTCGCTGCACGTGGTTTGCATGTGACCATCATCACCACCTCTGTGAATGCCCGATTCCTTGAAAGCTCCATTGAAGAAAGCAAGGCCTTGGGCCACCATATCCAACTTCACATCATCAGATTTCCGTCCGAGGAAGTCGGTCTTCCTGTCGGCATCGAGAACTTCTTCAATGTCACAGATGCTAAGACTGCTGATAAGTTTTACGTGGCTGCAGGTTTGCTCAAGAATCAAGTGGAGCCTTTCATGGAGCAAAACCCACCAGACTGCATCGTTTCGGATTTTATATACCCATGGACAGCCCCGATAGCGACACGTTTGGGGATTCCCAGGATTGTGTTCAACTCCTTTTGTCTTTTTGCAGTGTGCATGATCAATGCAAACAAGAGACAATCACAATCACAGCCTTCATCATCATATGATCATAATTCGGGTGGTCCGTTTGTTGTTTCGGGTCTTCCTGACCCAATCACCCTCACCCTCCGACCACCAAAGTTGATTTCTCATCAACTTGAAAGCTTGATAGAGGCTGATCAGAAGAACAGCTATGGTCTCATTGTGAACAACTTCTGTGAGCTGGACGGTCCCGATTACATCAAGTATTATCAGAAAATTACCGATCTCAAGGTTTGGCACATTGGTCCTGCTTCTCTCATGTTACGAAACATGCAGCGACAGAAGAATCATCATCACCAACAACGTAATAAGGAGCATGAATACATAAGATCATGGCTCGATTCAAAGGAATGCAATTCCGTAGTTTTCGTAAGCTTTGGGAGTTTATGTCGTTTCGCTGGCCCTCAACTGTTCGAAATAGCATGTGGGTTGGAATCTTCTGGATGTTCCTTCATCTGGGTGGTGCACAGGGAATCCAAACAAAAGAATCACCGTGACGAAGAAGATGAAGAGGACGCGTGGTTGCCGTTAGGGTTTGAAGAGAGGATGAAGAAGGAAAACAGAGGGCTCATCCTGATGAAATGGGCCCCACAGGAATTAATACTGAACCATCCGGCGATCGGTGGGTTTATGACGCATTGTGGGTGGACGTCAGTGACGGAGGCAGTGAGCGCCGGGGTACCGATGATGACGTGGCCAGTATTCATCGAGCAGTTTTACAACGAGAAGTTGATAACGCAGGTGCACGGGTTTGGAGTGGAGGTGGGCGCAGAGGAGTGGAAGTCCAGTCCCTATGAGAGAATGGAGAAGGTAGTAAGCAGGGTAAATATAGAGAAAGCCGTGAGGAGGCTAATGGACGGCGGAGATGAAGCTGAGAGGGTGAGAATGAAAGCCAGAGAGATGAGAGAGAAAGCTGGAAAAGCGGTGGAAGAAGATGGATCCTCACAAATGAATTTGACTGCCATGATTGAAGATCTTAAGCTTCTTGCCATGAATGGAGCTCGAAATGGAACTTCTATGGGTTGATTAGAAACTCAAAAACTAGACATAGATTGTGTTGGTGTCCCTAACTCCATATCTTTGTTACTCCTTCTCTCTCTTATTATTATAAGATTTAATTTTTTGAATAGGTTTATCTCTTTTTATAAGATTCCTTTTGAATTCATTTGAACATTTAATATATTATTACCTATTTTACCCCTCGTTTAATGCATTTAATACATTCTCTTTCTTTATTTATCTTACTATTACTTTCTCATATTTACCCATTTATATATAGGGGTATATTTGTAAAAAAAATTGTATTTGCTACATATTAATTGTTTTAAACTAATTTTAACTGTTTTTTTAAACCGCACAATTTAGTTAAAATGATCTTATAATAAGAGACGGAGTAGTATTCATTAAAAGAAAACCATGTTGCTTGCAAGCAAGTTTCAGATAAAAAGATGGGGTTAATTATTAACTGTAACAATGTCCGGTTGTTCCAAAAGAAAAAAAATAGCTCCGCAAATTAAAGACAAATGTGTAATGGCTTTGGAGTGCTCTGTCTCCACTGCTCTCTAATTTCCCCCACTATCCCGAATTTTTTTTTATATTAAATTCTACTCAAAATGAATGAAAATTTAATACCTTATGAGTAAAAAAATATACATTTCTGATTTTTTTTAAATGATTTGTAAAGAAATATACTCTAAAGTTATAAAAATACTCTAAAATTATGTATTTCTTTTTAATTTAGATATAATTTTTTAAAAAAATCATAACAAATTCAAAAGCGTACCATTTTCTTTTGTAAGATATCAAAATTTCAGCTTTTTATGAAGAATATAATGATTAAAAAGAAAATCTTTAGGAGCGGGAAAAATTTAAGGAGCAATGGACGCCCCGAGTCTTGGTTCAATTACATAAAAGAGGACTACATTTAATCATGCTACCTCCGCTACTTAATATTTCTTCCGTCCTAGATATATAATCTGTTTTGTAGTGTAATATACATGACAAAATACTCTTCCGGTCCTTAATATAAGACCTATTTTTCTAGTTTGATTAGATTAAAGAAATTAAGTAAGTTAATTAATTATAAGAAATGTGACACGTTTTTCCTAAAATACTATAATCATCTTTCTTAATACCCCCTCTTCCTCTTCTACTTGATTATTGTTGAAGGAGTATCATAGTAGTAATTTAGAGAAAATTGATAAATATGAGAAATTAGTCTTATATTTAGAACCAAAACTAACTCAATAATTGGGTCTTATATTAAGGACCGGAGGAGTAGGTTTAATATAAGATCTATTTTGTAGTGTAATTTACATGACAAAATATATTTATATTTAGGACTAGAGGAGTATAAAAGTTAGATAACTACTTTGCAAATATTAAGACAATTAGTTAAGTTAGTTGTTTGTAACAATAGGTGTTGCACTTTCAAAAATAGCTTTATTAATCATGTGTATTAGAATGAAAAACCTAACATGTACAATCACTATGGAGATTATTTTAAGAAAAATAAATCAATATAAGAGACAAAATATATTAAAATATTACATTTGGGACTAAATTAAATCTTCAACTATTAGAATTGGAGGTAGCAATACAAGAAGCGGGTTCATGTGTTTAGTTGAACTTATACACACACACGGAATTCCCTTTTGTAATGCTAACTGCATTCCCTCCCTCCTCATCATTCATAAATAGTACTGGGAATATGGGCTAACCTACAGGATTACAATTTCAGAAATGTTCCATTTTGCTAGCCCCCTTAAGCTCACAAGCTTAGGCTTAGGCCTAGCCCGTGGGTTTTGGCTTGTTTAAAGAAAAAAAAAATAATTTTTTTATATTTTCCGCATATTTTATCAATAAAATGGAAATAAAAAAATGAAATTATTAATAAAATACATAAATATAAATAAAATTAAGTCACAAACATAACATCATCATATCTAATTATCTATCAACATTAAAGAACATCTAAAACATCTATTAATAAGATAATAACACTTAAAAGTTTCATCAACAGTACAAATATACAATAGACAAACACTATCATCAATTTTTTAAGACTTCGTTGTCACTATCATCAATTGCTCTTCTTTACTAGTGGCAAAAATATTAAGTTTTTTTTCTTCATTAAAATTTCAATTTTAAATTTTGCGGTCTAAACATTATTTTACTTTAGTTTGAGATATATTAGTATTGAAACTCATAAATTTCTAATTTAAATTATAGAATCACAAGGTATATAAGTATTAAAAATACTCTTTTATTAAATAGATATATTTTAAAAACATCAACATATGTAATATAAATCAAATCATTATTAAAGTTTAAATTAACCAATTTTCTTAAAATTTAATTGAACAGATTATTGTCCAAAATCAAATAAGTCAAACTATTTTATAAAATTTAGGAAAAATTAATTTTTTGGTCCTTCAAATTTTAACTCACTTTTAACTAAGTCCTTTAACTATATGACTCAATGCAACTCAGTTTCTCAACTAGTGACTTGCTTATAAGGCTATAACTCAGTCTCTACTCTTTTTACATTTAATAATTTAATCCTTATGACATACAATTTACTTATAATCCCCAAATAATTATCCTACATGGCAACAATATTAATTAACATCATTAAAGAAATGAAAATGTGTCTTCCAACCCAGCTCCTGTATGATACTATGCAATTAGACTCCTCCGCCATTTTCTCCGGCAGCGTCTCCTTTCTCTGCTTCTTCAGCCTCATCGTCGGCTTCTCCACCCAACCACTGATTGATTCTTCGTGGTGCCGACTCAAATGGAAGGACAGCCCAAATAAAGGCTGTGTTAAAGGCACGTACATTTGAAAATGTTTATTTGAAGCTGCTTAGATATATACTTCCAGCGACTTCACAGAAGCCGTTCGCCTACCACTCAATCTCACTAATATTTCTTACCGTATTTGTTATCCATGCTTTGCTTTCTCTCCTCCAGTGAAGATGTCGTCCCTTTTATACAAACACTACAATTCACACATTGGGTCATACCTTCTCTTGCTCATTAGGAGTCTATTAATGGCTCTTTTTGCTTTGACTGTGTTTCTGCACATTGTATTAGCAGGAAAAGTAGAAGACGGGGTTGAGCTGGGCACCATGTGCTGAGGACTTTGCCAATGATGAGGGTGAAGAAGCAAAGGAAGGAGATGCTGCCAAAGAAAATGGCGGAGTCTGATTGCATAGTATCATACAGGAGCTGAGTTGAAAGACACATTTTCATTTTTTTAATGATCTTAATTAATATTTTTTGCCATATAAGATAATTATTTGGGGATTAAAAGTAAATTGTATATAATAAGGATTAAATTATTAAATGCAAAAAGAGGAGGAACTCAGTTATAGGCGAGTCACAATTGAAGGATTGAGTTGCACTGATTCATAGTTAACGAATTGAGTTATAAATGAGTTAAAACTTAAAGGACTAAAAGATTAATTTTTTCTAAAATTTAATTTCAAATTGATAATAATAATTAAATATTTGAAATATCATTAACAATATCAAAAAATAATAATATTGGCATTATATAAAAAAAATATTACAAAAATTATAAAAGGACCTATACCGGCCGGCCCATTTAAGTTCTCAGCGTTAGAGGGCCAGTCCTTTTAAATCCATTTTTTATTTGAAGGGAAAAATTCTAAACTCAACTCTCATAATTTTCGAACCTAAACGGACTGGCCCAATGGATTTGACTTGTTTTTTCAGCCCTATTCATTAAAAAATCCAATCTACCCTCATAAAGTGGGAAACGACTACTCTTTGCTACCCCGTTCCCGGCCTCCACTGTCCCTCCTCTATCTAAAACTGTATCGCTTTTGGTGGAAAATAAGATCTACTCCCTCCGTTCCTTATTATAAGAGACGAATAACTGAATTACGTTGATAAAAAAAACAGTTAAAATTAGTTAAGAACAATCAATGTGTAAAAAATATATTTTTTTCCAAAAATGCCCTTATTAATAAGGAGATAGAGCATGAGAGAGAACAATTAAATTATTGAAAGAAAGAGAAGTGGGAGGGGGAGAGAGTGTGAGTTGAAGACAATAAATATGGGTAAAATAGAAAATCAACATAAAAAAGTAGAGACAACTTTTAAGTGTCTCTTATATATAGGAACATGCCATAAGCATCAAATGTCTCTTATAATAAGGAACGGAGGGAGTAATATCTTATAAGAGTAAATTAGGAATTTTCTTTCAAATAATATACTTGATTACAACAAGATTATTGGAGAGGGAAGATGACATAAAAAGAAATTAGAAATTACAATATTTCAATTCAAGCACCTAAGAGGTCAAAATTCCAGGTGAGAAAGTGGTGCCTGATTTGATATTTTGCAAATATAGTCAAATGACTAAAATTCCCTTATATTAGATTTTTTTGAAAAAAAAGCTATCAAACTTGTCATTACCAATGTATTTTATTATTTTTCATCATTGATTGTTTAACATTTATCGTTGTCAGTTTATAACTTATTAATAAATAACATGTCATTACCAGTTATATATTTTTTGTCATTTGCTGTTTAACACTTGTTGTTGCCAATTCACAATTTGTTAACAAACTTTTTGATACAATGACATTTTTGTCATTTAATTATATTTATAACATATCAGATCAGGTTTTTTTTTTTCCCCTAGAGGAGCTCTTAACTCTTAAGTATCTGGATTGAAATATTGTAATTTTCAACTTGTTTTTATGTTATTTTTCTCCCTATTAGAAATTACTCTTTATGTACGATTTTTGGGTCACCTGGAAAAAACGACTGCTTTTTACTATTGTAAAAGTGATCGAAATGATTTTTTTTTTTAAGTTATTCGGATTATTGTACGTCTGACGCTCTAAAATATTTTGCCAGTACTCAGTAATACTCAATATTAAAAAATAACTTATAATATTTTGTTTTTAAAATATTTTTTCATAAACAGTATATTATCTTTAAGTCTTTGAAACACAGCATTACTCCAACATACATGTGACGTTAAAATGCTATATCGCTGCTGAAGATGTGACTATATGAGATTGGGACAATTATTTGGAAAGTTTTCTAGGAAGGTTTAGGAAAGCTTTCCTTGATTATTTCATTTTAATAATATATTATATCTGTAACTTCATTAATTAAGATTCATAAAAATATACTTAATCACTCCATATTTTAACTGCAAAAAGTAATTACAGTAAATTAATTTTTGGACGCTCTGTCATGACTCGCCTGCCAGAGCCAGATTGATTAACAAAATGGGAAGATGTTAATAGAATATAATATTTACCAATCATTTTAAGGGTAATTATTTAAAAACTATATAAATTATTCATAAATTTATGCCACTAAGTAAATTTACTGAATTTCTTAATTGCTGTAAGATGACTAAAAGGTTTCATACATAGACAGAACTAAAGGTGATTGTTATTCTCTACACTCCTCTTTCTCCCCATTTTCCATGTGAACTACTAGATGAAAATTTGAATGGTTCAAATTTCATGTTTTATAAAATTATTAATAAAATGTCAAATTTAAAAAATGAATAAAGTTAAAATACTGAATTTTAGGCATGAAAAATAATAAAAAAATATTTTATAAAATATGAAATATAAACTATTTAAATTTAATTATAATAATTGAAATGGAGAGTGAATGAAAATAAAAAGAAAAGAAAGTGGAGAGAATCCAAATCCATGGATATCTGATTCAGGACTGTTTCGGTGAAATCATAATTTTAAAAATAATTGTTATGATAACCACTCTTGTGCTTTTTAATTGTCATTTGTAGGAGGAGATTTTGGTTCTTTTTATTTGTCATTTGTATCCTTTTTAATGTTTCATTTCCAATTTTGCCCCTATTAATTAAGGGAGATCAATGTAAAGGTGAAGAGAGAGGAATAAGTGAGAAAAAATATACTCCCTCCGTTTCTTATTATAAGAGACATTTGATACTTATGGCATGTTCCTATATATAAGAGACACTTAAAAGTTGTCTATACTTTTTTGTGTTGATTTCCTATTTTACCCATATTTATTGTCTCCAACTCACACTCTCTCTCCATCCTACTTCTCTTTCTTTTAATAATTTAATTGTTCTATCTCATGCTCTCTCTCCTTATTAATGAGGGCATTTTTGGAAAAAAATTATATTTTTTACACATTGATTGTTCTTAACTAATTTTAACTACTTTTTTGATCAACGTAATTCGGTTATTTGTCTCTTATAATAAGGAACGGAGGGAGTACTATCTACTCCTCCGATCATTAATATAATATCCATTTAACTAATTTGATTATATTAAGAAAGTTAGGTAAGTTCGTTAATTATAAGAGTGACACGTTTTTTTAAAATACCATAATCATCTTTCTTAATACCTCCTTTTCTCTTATACTTGATTATGATTGAAGGAGTATCCATATAGGTAATTTTGAGAAAATTGATAAATATGAGAAATGAGTCTTATATTTAGGACCAAAATCAACTCAACAATTAGGTCATATATTAAAGACAGGAAGAGTATATTTAATAAGAGCAAAAATGAAAGATTTTATGTATTTAATGATATGTTTGGTGTTTTGACCAAAAAAAAAAAATGATATGTTTGGTGTGTGAGAAACTGCTGTAAGTGACAATTAAAAAAGACCAGAGTGTTACGAACTAAGTATATAAGAGAAATTTTATTTCGATTTATATGATAATATTTTTTTTAGGAGCTTTTACTTGATACCAAATACTGCCAGTTCGAATTGAGTGTCCTCGTGCAAAGCGAGTTTGGCGTGGATTCAGTCATTGCCAAGTGACTAGGAGAAATAATTCATATCCGACAAATCTGGGAGTGTGTATATGCATACATGTATATTCCAGATTTTCTGCATGTTGAAATATTAAATCAATAAAAATATAAAAAAAAACAAAATTATATGAAATCTTGATGTCCAATTAATGCATCCAAACGGAATTTGGCGCTTATAGATGTAGCGAGATTTGTCAATTTTGATGATTCAAATTTAAAATTTTCAAAGAATAAACTATTCTTAAAAAAATTACTTTCCCAGTAACTAGGAAAAAAAAAACTAGAAATTATATCCCAAATTTTATATATATTAAAATGATTTTTCAAAAGTAAAAGTAAAAACCATTAAATTTCACCTGTCCAGATCTAGATCAAATCTGGATTATTTATTTGTACCGGTAGCCCCATTGGAATGTTGTGCATATATTAATGCTCTCGTCCTTAAAGAACTCGCCCCATTCGTGTGGCACGTAGACGCAAGAACTAGACACCATGGGCGAAATTTCCAGAGCTCTCAAGGTCTTCTTCATGCCTCACATGGCACAAGGCCACATGATCCCTCTCTGCCAATTCGCGAGGCTCTTCGCTGCACGTGACCATCACCACCACCCCCGTCAGTGCCCGGTTCCTTCAAACCTCCATTGAAGAAAGCAAGGCCTTGGGCCACCATATCCAACTCCACACAGTCAGATTTCCGTCCGACGAAGTCGGCCTTCCGGTCGGCATCGAGAACTTCTTCAATGTCACAGATGCTGCGACTGCTTGGAGACTTAACCAGGCTGTAGGTTTGCTCAGAAATCAACTGGAGCCTTTCATTGAACAAAACCCACCCGATTGCATCGTTTCGGATTTTATGTACCCGTGGACAGCCGCGATAGCGACCCGTTTGGGGATTCCCAGGATTGTGTTCAACACATTTTGTCTTTTTGTTGTGTGCATGATCAATGCATGCAAGGGACAATTACAGTCAAAGCCGGAATTATTATCCCATGAGCATGATGATGATTCGAGTTGTCCATTTGTGGTTTCGGGTCTTCCTGACCCAATCACCCTCACCAATCGGCCGCCTAAGTGGGTGTTTGAAATGTTAGAAACCTTGATAGAGACTGATCAGAAGAACAGCTATGGGCTCACTGTGAACAACTTTAACGATCTGGACGGTCAAGATTACATCGACTATTACAAGAAAAGCACCGATCTTAAGGTTTGGCACATTGGTCCTGCTTCTCTCATGTTAAGAAACATACTACCAAAAGAAGATCTTCATCCACAAACAAAAAAGGGGCATGAACATATAAGGACATGGCTCGACTCCAAGGAATCTAATTCTGTCGTTTACGTAAGCTTTGGCAGTCTGCGTCGTTTCAAGGATCCTTAACTGTTCGAAATAGCTTGCGGGTTGGAATCTTGTGGATGTTCCTTCATCTGGGTAGTGCACAGGGAATCCAAACAGAACAACAAATGTGGTGAGGAAGAAGAAAAGAAAACGTGGTTGCCAAAAGGGTTTGAAGAGAGGCTGAAGAAGGAGAACAGAGGGCTCATCCTGATGAAATGGGCCCCACAGGAGTTGATACTGAATCATCCGGCCACCGGTGGGTTTCTGACGCATTGCGGGTGGACGTCAGTGACGGAGGCAGTGAGCGCCGGGGTACCCATGATGACGTGGCCGGTCTTCATCGAGCAGCCTTGCAACGAGAAGTTGATAACGCAGGTACACGGGTTTGGAGTGGAGGTGGGCGCAGAAGAGTGGAAGCCCAGCCCCTATGAGAGAATGGAGAAGTTAGTAAGTAGGGTAAAGATAGAGAAAGCCGTGAGGAGGCTAAAGGCCGGCGGAGATGAAGCTGAGAGGGTTAGAGAGAAAGCGAGAGAGATGAGAGAGAAAACTCGAAAAGCTGTGGGAGAAGACGGGTCGTCACAGAGGAATTTAACAGCCTTGATTGAAGATCTTAAGCTCATCGCAATGAATCGGGCCGCTTCAAAACGCCAGACACGGATTTATTAAAATGATGCATTCAGGAGCAATTTTAAAATCATAGCTTATTAGTGTTTTGCTGAATAAGTAATATAATAAGTCAAGATCTGGCCAAAAGAAAAAAGAATATATAAGTAAAAAAAAAAAAAGAATATGTGTGTGTGTGTTTGGTGCTCTTTTACTGTAACACATATGGTTTGGTGTGTTCGATCGTGATCGTGTTCGTGTGTTTTCCATTTTTATGGATTCGATCGTTTCCTTTGTGGTTTAATTCGTGCCTTCATCTTCTTCTTGCTTTTCATATGGATTTTAATTCTGCTTCCTGTTATAGTATGGTATTTTTGGACTTTCAAATTTTTAGGTTGTTGTTGTTTTTTTTTTTTTTTAACGGGATGCATGTTATATTTGCCTATTAATTAAGACCTTTACAACGTTGTGGTTGATTTTCCATTGAAAAAAAAGTACCATAGTCTTATAATTAATAAGAGGATTAATTATTTCTTCAGTCGTCCCATTTACAAAGGACAGTTCTTATGTTTTCTCATCGAACTTGAATATTTATAAGGAGTCAGGATCGACTTGTAAGTAATTAATTAGTTTTTTATATGGGACCTGCATGTAATTCTTCCCCTAATCTTCTTCATCTGAGTCAAATTAAAGCCTTCCTTTTGAAAAAAAAGAAGAAGAAGAAAATCATCTTAAGCCTTAGCTAAAGCTCCTTAGACCATTCATCTCATAAATGTAACATGTAATTACTGACTGCCTACAAATCTCTATCTTCATAATCAAACATACATATGAAGAGTTCTTGCTCTTTTTACGTAGCTGAGAAGAAAAGGAAGAAAAAAACAGGTCACTCTTCGGGATTTAATTAAGTTTCACCCTTTATGAGAAAAACTAGTACTGCCTCTAGTTCTAAATATAAGAACTAATTGACTAATTTGAGTAGATTAAGAAAATAAGTTAAGTTAGGTATTTGTAATTAAATATGTATTGTCTTTCCTAAAATATTCTTGCTAATCAAGTTTATTAGTTATAACTATCATTATTAGAAGGACTATCTTGAGAAAAAATGAATAAATATGAGAGATAAAGTAGATTGAAATCTTATATTAAGGACTAAAACAAAATTCAAATAAAGTCTTATATTAAAGATCGGAGGTATTATTACTTAGAAATGAAGAATAAACTATTTTTATATAAACTAATAATATAAATGTTATCCATATCTTAACACCACCATAAAGGACTTGCACATAATCAGAAGGAGCTGAGGGGATGATAAAGTTGAAACTACGTGTGATGATGATATAGAAGGCTTAAAAGTAGCAACTCCCTAATTAGTACAGCTTAAACTTGTTTTGTAATCAGAAGATTATTACTTAGTATGTCCTGAGCTTTTCTTTTGTTTGTTTTGTTTTGTTTTTTGTTTTTATTTAGATACAGGTATCTTAGACACTATCAAGTATTAAATGTGAACATCTCTCTTAACAAAGATTTGAATATTAATTGGTCATGTTGTGAATACCCAATTCCTGTTGGCAAGCTTTCTGATTGTCTACAATATCTCCTTTACAGCTTCGAGTTGATCTCGTAGGATTGTAGAGCCACAGACCCAAAGAAAAGATCCAGGCATCTTGAGAAATATATTCATTCTAATATTTTAAGTTCTTCTCACCCATCCATATGATTTTTGGACTTGAGATTCTCAGCTTTTCAAATGGAACAGATTTTTTTTCCAATGATGTGAATGTGATCGTGCAGAGTCCAAATATAATAATAAAGAAACCGGATCTACATCATAAAACAGTCTTCTTTTTCTTTTTCTCCCCCCCGGGTTTTTTTTTTATTAGAGGAACATACAGACACTAAGGACATAATGTTAGAAGTTGAATTTTTTTTAACTAAGCATAGCTATCTTCTTATTAAAAGTGATGTTAGAAGTTGAATTGAACCCGCAGCTACTTGTAGTTTTGTAAGAAAGCATCTATGCTATCTAGCTATAAGCCAGGAATAAGAAAGTGAGCTACCTATTGGATATATTAACTTTTGGGCTTGAGCATAGCAGCAGCCCAAACTAAATTGGGCTTGAGCCCAAATTAACCCAGAGGGTATTAAGAGGGGAGCTCGTGTGTGGCGCGACGCTAGTGGATCCGGGAGATGCCAGGGATGCGGCTGAAGACGGAGCGGCTTGGAAGTGGGCTCATGTAACATTTTCTTTTGGGCTAGAAATTTGGACCTCTCTGCCTGATTTGGGCTTCCTTGTTAATTTTCAGCCCAGTTAAAAACTCCGGAGGGGACTGCCCGTTTGGTAAATGTGTGCAGGTCTGGAGGAGATTTGGTTTCAGGATTTGGAGGGAAGGAGAAGGAATCAAGGAATATGATTTCGTTGCATCGTGACCAATATGCCCATACTCTATTTTAATAATCCAAAACTACCCTCCTTTCAACAAAACCTAAATCCATCATTTCTGTCCGTCGCAGTGGCCGCTCCCGCTTGGTTACTTCTCGTCGTGTTCCTGAGAAGCAATCATCTGCGCTCTGCAGCATAAATCGGCGCAGTCACCTTCACCTGCTGCGTCCATCAGCGCCCTCGCCGTCCTAGGCTTCTCCACCGCAGGTTTCATAGTTCTGCTTTCTCATCTACTTCTTTTCCTATTTCCCCCCCTGATTTTTCTGCATCCCGTGCTGCTTCTCCCTTTTAATTTTTCCACGTTGTTCCTCATCGCCCTCTTGTTTTTCTACCCTGCTCCCCTCCTTCGCATATGAGCGCTTCGATCTGCTTTCCATTCTACCTTTCTAATTTTTATGCTTCATCGTGACCGATTTTGAATCTTTTGAAATTGGATTGTTCTCAATACCACGCTAGGGTTGTCCAAAAACAGCTCTGGAGATTTTTTGTTTTTAACGTTATGGGACTTCATCCTTCTGTTTGTTTTATGTGCCTAATGTATGGAAGCTGGAAGTCTGCGAGCTTCCGAATTTATGAAATTTGCTCTAGTGTGAGACCAATTAAGCTGTTATGTGCTTCTTCTTCTTAGGTATTTTTCTTCAATGTGTTGTTTTGATTGTTATGTTTTATTTGTCCGATGATTACAGTGGTTGGATAATTCATGGAATAAAAAATGTGGCTCGTGAAAACCCTAACTGATATGTGGGCTTGAATATGAACCATGGAGAAAGAGCTGCAGGTGATGACTTCGGGCGAGCAGTGTCAAAGGTGGCGGTTGCACAGATATGCGAAAGCACAGGGTTTCACAGCATCAAAGAGTCCGCCCTGGAGGCTTTTGCTGACATTGCAATCCGATACCTCTTTGACTTGGGAAAGATGGCAGAGTTCTATGCTAACTTAGCTGGTAGATCAGAATGTAATGTGTTTGATTTCATTCGAGCGCTAGAAGATTTAGAAGCAACTCAAGGGTTTCTCGGTGCATCTGAGCCTACACAATGTCTTGCCGGCTCTGGCATAGTGAGGGACATGATTCGCCTCATCAGTTCAGGGGAGGGGATTCCATTAGCTCAGCCAATACCTCGATTTCCAGTGATTAAGGACCGAAGTGTCATCCCAAGCTTCATACAAATGGGTGAATCACCACCTTCCAAGCATATACCTGCTTGGTTGCCGGCTTTCCCCGATATTCACACCTACATTCATACACCCATGTGGAATGAGAGGTCCACAGATCCTCGAGAAGATAAGATTGAACAAGCAAGGCAGCGGAGGAAGGCTGAAAGGTCTTTGTTGAGTTTGCAGCAGCGGCTGCTATGCCAGGGTTCAGCAGCATCACCGGCCTCGAATATAAGAGGTGGTGCTGTACAAGATTCAGAGGGAGTTGTAAAGAATCCGTTTCTTCAGCCTCCTATGCCTTCAGGGGATGTAGATGTTTCTTCCATTGTCTTACCCTCAAAGCTCTCAGATGAAATTGCTGGTGCAAATCATGTTTCTGTGCTAGAGGCATTTGCTCCTGCAATTGAGGTTGTGAAGAGTGGTATGACCGATGGGCAGGAAGACAAAACCATTCTTCCTGGGGTAAGGCCTACTGTTCATTTCAAGTTCAGGATTGGGAAGAAGCTTATTGGCGAATCTTTGGGTACAAGACAGCAGAAGAGTGCTGAGCAAGAGCAAATGGCATCTTTAACTGGCCGAGAAGAAGAGAGAGATGAAAAAAAGAGGAGAGCTGAGTATATTCTCAAGCAGTCCGTGGAAAATCCTCAGGAACTTACTCTCCTGTAGATTAGTTTACAGACTGACTGGCTTGATCAGAGTCCAGGGACTGAATGAATTAGCTGGCTTAACCTGCGGCTACATCGTTTATGCTCATAAATTAAGGTCTTCTATCTTCTGGTGATGATTTTATAACGTTGTGACAGTGACTTAACCGTAGAACATTCTAAAGAAGCTTTTAGATCAGTTAATTTGTTTCTTGCAGTTTAGCAATGATTTGGTTGTAGATGTTGTATTTGTATATGAAGGCCTCCTGTTCACATCTTGTATTTAAACGGTTAATTGAATTACTGAATTCATTTACTGACTGATTTTTGTCTTGTGATCTTCAATTGATTTACTGTCCTATAATGGTGTCTGTTGCACTTGCACATTTTTTCCACAATGCATGTCAATTGGGAAAAGAAATACCTAAAGTTCCAAAATTGAGATTTTATGAGGTAGATAAATGTTAGTAGTTCGGAGGATGTGAAAGGAGAGTCGTCATTATCTTTTTCAACTACCTGCTGAGAAAGCTTTGTCTAAGGCTTGTATCAAACTGTTGCTCTCTCAAATATTCATTCCTAGTCTGTGCGATCGCCTCAGACTGAGAAAATCTAATTTATTTTTTTTATCCTTTTGCTTTCCAAGATTTGAGACCAAATAGCCTGAAAAAACAACACAGAATCGGTCATTGACAAAACTTTGCATTCACAGTATCATAGGAATGTTCACTCGTAAGAATTCTAACATAGTTCGTATATAGTAAATTACCATTCCAAAGAAGTCCTAAATTGTTCATCAACCACTTTCTTCCCTCCTCCTTCCATTATCTTCCCTTTTACCTTTTACATCCACAACACATCCTTCCATCATGCAAACCTGCCATGGCAAAATCAACACCCTGAGAACGAAGGCGTTGCCTTGGTCCAAAATGAGACTTGAAACCTCCTTCACAAGAAATCTTCAACCCATGTGCGAAGCTTGTTCCCACCACTTCTTTCTCATTTGGTTTCTAGAACTCCGTAAACCGTTAGGAAGTCAATGAGACAGTTAAAAAAATGTGTTTTTTTTTTGTTTTGAATCAGGTCATGCTCCTGAAGATTTTTTTTTTTCAAAAAAAAATTAAAAAGGGAAGATTTCAATTCATCAAAAAACACTATACAAGAGAAAGATTTTACAGGAAGATATTAATCACGTCTTTAAGAATTGTCTGTTAGCATTCTCAGTTTGGAAGAAAGTTCTCCCACAAGACATGTGCATTGACTTTTTCAGGAATGATGTGGTGCCTTGCTCAACAAAAAATTAGGTGACTCAAGCCTAGATATTTCTTGGAAGATTGGGCTTTATATAATTTACTAGAAATTATAGGAAGTCAGGAACCATTGCATTTTTACCTCTGAGACTTACGTGACAGAAAGTATACTTGCTGATATTAGAATTAAAGTTGACCACACTATAAAGAATTTTTCTGTCTTTGTGCTTTTTTTTTTAAAAAAATAAAATAACAAATTCTTGTTTACATCATATGGCATACAACGAGCATTTAACATATTAGCATATAAAAAAGAGATGAATGACACATAATAAAGTAGAAAAAGGAGCAAGTAACGAGGCGATATCACCATACAATGATTGTCGCTCAATTTTGACAATAATCATTAGCGGCTCCTAATCCCCCTCGCCAGTGCCAATATGCCCTTCAGGAAAAAAGTTAATGCAGAATATAATGTAACTATCTCCCAGGCAAGCACCATTAAAAGGGAAGTAATGAAAGCTTTATTCCAACCACACAAGAGATTCAGTGTGATCCGCACAAGATTCCCTTCAACATTGATAACAAGTAAGTAGCAAAGAAGCATAAATGGCAAAAGGGGTATAAGAGTGGGGTAACAAACCATAGTTGTGTGAAAGGCACAACTAACCTTAACATGATGAGGCAGAAATTTAGACCTTGTACAGTCAGTTGTTGTCTTGCTTAGGGGAATAATAAGCAATAGAAAGTAAACGGATGAAGCCCAATTGTTCAACTTTTAGCCTTCTGATATGATATATTTGTGCTGCGGAGGAAAAGTCAAAAGTTAAAATAATACCCACATTCAGCAGATTAATCAGTACTGGTTTCCAGCACCTGATCAACAGATTGTAAATGAACATTTCAGTTATGGAGTTGCTGAACATGATAATAGTTCAAAAAAAAAAAATGTTGACCAATTTACCAATCTGGTCTAGATGAAAGAGGGAGGATCGGAATGGACTAACAGAAAATAATCATAAGCCAAAAGTGCTAATAATACATTGCCCACTTTTGAATTTTGGATTAAAACAATGTAACTTCAGATTTCTTGTCAAAAGTTCCTTAGAAGCAAATTGTTCCACCCCAGCACATATCTTGTGATAAGCTGCTCCTTTTTATTCTTAATATAAGTGTTAGATAACTAATTTGTCAATATTAATGAGACTCCAAATCACTTCAAAGCTTCAATTCTAATCTCTCCTGCCTTCAATCCTTCTTTCTCTATGCAGAAACAGTTCCAAAGCATCCTCAAGAGTCAAGAATGACAACCTCTCTCTTGCAGATCACGTCCAGAATGAATGAAAAACGAGTTCCCTCAGTCATTTTATATTAGAAGACCAAACACTACGTTTTAGGTTCCGTCAAGATGCCATGGCACTTCCACCGCTTTGCACCAAAGGCGTTGTTTCTTTCTACGCAGGCTGCCATGGTACTTCCAGTATGGTGTCATGGCGTGAGTGGCACTACTTTTTTTTTTCCTCAGAACAAAGTGTCACAGTACTTCACACATATGCCTTGGCATCAGTAGATCTTCTCACTCTTGACTTTCATGCTCATCAACTCCCTTCTTTTTTGCTTATAATATTTTATTCTCACCATTAAAAACAAACATTTATGGTGGACAACTTGCTCTTTTCAATTTCTAACCATTCTACTTCATTTTCTTAATAATATCAACATTACACTCATTTGATGCTCTTTGGTCAATTTTTCATTCCCAACTCATGAAAGCACTCCCAATTTTGCATTTATAACTCCCCATATACACTCAAAATAGATCTCAAATCTATGGAAAAAAGAGGAGTCAACAATTACTAATTTGTTAATACTAATAAAATAGTTAAAGTAGGCTTGTGTAACAAATGCGTAATGATTTTTCTAAAATACTCTTCCCAGTTATGTGCATTGTAACTACTAACTGATAGAAACTTTCTTACTATATGCAATCAATAATTAAAAAAGGAGGTTAGTGGTGGATTATATATAAGATACTACCTGCAGTCCTAATTATAAGAGCTAGTTGACTAATTTGAGGAGATTAAGGAAAGAAATTAGGTTAGTTCTTTGTAATAAATAAGTGTTGTCTTTCCTAAAATATCTTTACCAATTAAGTGCATTGGTTAGAACTACCATTGTTAGAAGGACTACCTTGGAAAAAATGCATAAATATGAGAGACAAAGTAGATTATGGTCTTATATTTAGGACCAAAATAAAAGTCAAATAAGGTCTTATATTAAAGATCGGAGGTAGTAATACAAATAGTAATTTGAAGGGTGAATTTCCCATGGTTTTTCACATCACTATTTTAAGTGTTGGTGGATTAGGCAACCAGTCACTGGGGATCATCACTTGAATTTGAAATTAGTTAATTAGTTTGGTTTTGGACAATAAATCACTGAAATTATTGAGTACTGTGGTAATATCGTTGCTAGATTACCTACTGTTTTTCTAAGATGTTTGATGATGATAAGTTGGGTCACGTAAGACATCGAACTATGTAATTGATTTGGCCTATTGTTTTGATTTTAAAAAAAAACTAAAAATTAATACCCTCCGGTCTTTAATATAAGATCCATTTAAGTCTCAGTTTTAAAATTGTTACTATATTTTCACATATTACCCCCACCACCTTTTAGACCCTCTAAGGCTGCAACTTCATTTTTTTTAAAATTTAAGAAAGGTATATAATAAAAAAATAGTTTATATAATTGTAGATTTTTATATATAATTTTTAATTGATAGATCTTAACATTGCAGTCGTCAAAGCCATCACGCAGAGTCGTTCAATGCCTCAAAGTCAAAGGTCAACACTATTTTCAGGCGGGAGTAGGTGTGGTGCGGCTTAATTTTCTGAAATTTAAAAGTCAAATTTAGAAGTGGATCCACACGTAGCCCTACCTAAGAATTTTTAAAAAAAAAAAAAAAAAACTCTCCAGGCATTATGTTTGTTCGAATGAAAGGAAAAAACGAAAAAAAAAATTAACTTGGTTAATTGTTTTAAAAATTAAATAAAATCAGATAAAATATTTTAAGACCTTTTTCATTTTCAATAAAATCTTGTTTAGACAGATAGATATTTAAGAAGGATTAATATCATTTTTTTTAAATTTTACTTTTGGTATCTAAAATTTGAAATCTTGGTTTCATGGACCAAAAATACTATTCCAGGAATCAAAATAAGATTCAATTTTATATACCAAAATTAAAATTAAAATAATGTCAAACTTTTTGAATGGTATTAAACCTACTTTAATTCACTTTCTTTCGCTTTATATTTTTTTTTTTTATTTTGGTTTGATTCTTGCTTCTAATTTAAAATGAATTTATGCCCGTTTGAATTGACTTTGACTATTGACCGATACGATAAATTTATTTGGCAGCAAGGCAACGCAAGACACCCACTAATTCAGATAATTAATATAAAAATTAATTTGATATTTAATTAGTTCTTAGTTATAAAATTTTAATTCACTTTATTTCTTATATTTATTTATTTTTTCAAAAAATTCATACTAGTGATTACACATGTTAAAAATTAGGGGTGTGTATAGATAAAACTGGGCTAGGCTGGGTAGGATCCCTGCCTGATGCCCAGCCCAAAGGATTTTACAGCCCGCTGCTCGGCCCTGCCTAGTAAAAGCCTTAGTTATTTTGGGTTGGGTTAATACGGGTTGGGCAGAACGGGTTTTTCTTGCCCAAATTTACAACTTGAGTCATGAAATTTAAAATACTGCTATATGTTTAACAGATATCTATACTTTAAGAATTTAACAATATCCATAATTTATTAAAAACAAGACAGTAAAAATTGTAATTAAAACTTTAAAGTCCAAATGATTTGTATCAATCTCCACAAAAATTGAGAAAATAACGAAACATATAAAAAAAAATACAAGCTATATTAACATATTTAGTTATATTATTAACTTATAGTTTAATATAATTTATAGATCATTGAAATTAGTATAATTAGTATCATTTTATGATATATGAAGTAATGTCAACATGAAAAAGTTAAAAGACAATTATAGTATATAGCAAGATAATTTAAAAAAGTTAAAAAAGAAGGTATATTTAAAAAAAAAACTAGAACTTTAAACATATAAAGTATATAAGGGAGTAATATTCCTTTTGGGTACGTAGTATTGAAGTATAATAAAATATAAAATATTAATATTACACTATATGTTATATAATCCTGAAAAAATATATATTAAAATATAAATAATTATATATATATTTCGGGCAAGGCCAAATGGGCAGGACAGCACGCTATGCCCACGGCCTGGCCCGACCTGGCCTGTGATTAGCCAGGCCCGAAAATACCTATTTTTCCTCAGGCTGTGTTTTTTTGGGCTGGGCTAGGTATTTTTTTGGTAGGTTTGGGTAAGCACACCGGGCTATTAGGCCTCATGAACACTTCTATTAAAAATTCTATCAAATGATAGTTCTAACTAATAAACTTGATTAACAAAGATATTTTAAGGAAGATAACACATATTTATTACAAATAATTAACTTAACAAACTTTCTTAATCTCTTCTGATTAGTAAACTAGCTTTATTTAAGGTAATGAAGTAATACATTTATAAGTACAATTCCTGAATTCTTCATCATCTTGGATCTTCAACGCTGTGTTTTTTGGAAGTAAACTTCTGTCGTAAGTACCAGCTTTTTAGTTCTTACTATGTGTGATGATTTGAGGATATTTGTGTTGCCGAAAGGGTGACAAATTAGCCGGTGGGTCAATTTGAATTAGAAAATTGCTCATTTTTATGAATGAGCCACTGTTAAGCCAAAACCTAAAATGTTATACATATTATAGGCATATCATTATCTTTTATTGAATTTTTTACTTAGATACTATGCCCACTATTTCGACAGCCACTCTAACCCATTAAATTTATGAAAACTGTGAATTATTGGCTTTTTTATTAACATCTAGTCCCTCCTTCTTCTTCTTTTTTCCCCTTAATTGCCATCGTCCAGTCCCCCTTTTAAAACATTATGCAAAAGTATAACTTTCCGTATTTTATTAGATACAAATTTTTAAATCAATCCATCCTTTTTTACAAAATTCATTTTGAATTTGTGTAAATATTAAATGCATTTTTATCAATTTAATCCTTAATTAATATTCCCTCCCTTTTTTTAATATTTTGCCCCCTACATTCTTTCTCTCCTTTTTTCTTACTCACTTATGCCCACCTATAAATAAAGATATATTTTTTAAAAAATATTTCATATATATACATTTATTATTTTTAATTAATCTTACCGGTTTTATCAATCATACAATCCAATTATTTGAATTTTATAATAAAAAGTAAGGGAGTGATATATTGATATTTGTGAATTGTGAGTTTGTAATATGTCAAGTTTTCCAAACATAAGTCATTATATGTTCTATTTTTTTATATAGATTTATATACTTAAATAATAAAAATAGGACGGACAGTCATATATATGATTGGCAAGTATGATATAAATAAGCTGAGATAATTATTTTTCCAAGTAGTATATATTACGTATTGTTTGTTCAACAGTTTTACGTCTTGAAGTGTTTAGATAAAAATCAAACTATAATTTTAGAAGTAATTTTATAATATATAAAGTGAATATATAAAAAAAAATTTATCTCGATCTGTGAAAAAGTATTTTTAAAAAATACTTCTACACGAATCCAAACACCCACTTAATCAAACTAAAAAGGTGTTTGGATATCTCTAAAATGTTTTTAAAAAAATACTTTTTTCGTAAATTAGGAAAAATTTATCCGCCTATATTGGTTCCAAACACTCTCCAAGAGAACGAAACATTCCTTGGAGGCGGCTTACGCACTCAAGTTTGAATATTATTATGGTCAACAGTCATAGTCTTCGATCTCCACTCACTAGCGCCCCCAACGCCATTTATAAACGCTTGCCTTCCTGCTCTCTCGTCCTCCTCATCCATCCGCCATGGCCATTCCCAAGCCCTTGAAGGTCTACTTCCTCCCTTTCTTCGCACAGGGCCACTTGATTCCTCTCTCTCAATTCGCTAGGCTTTTTGCTGCCCGTGGTGTCCACGTGACTATCATCACCACTCCCTTGAACGCCGAATTTATTCAGAAATTCATCGACCAGGACAAGAGCTCCGGCCACCGCGTCCTCATCGACATTCACACCGTCAGGTTCCCTTCCCAGGAGGCCGGTCTTCCTGAAGGAACCGAGAACTTCTTCAACGTCAAGGATGTTGATACTGGTGTCAAAATGTACATCGCCGCCGCCATGCTCCGCCCACATGTCGAGCCCTTTATCGAGCAAAACCCGCCGGACTGTATCGTCTCGGACTTCCTATTCACTTGGAGCGGTGAGCTGGCCTCACGTCTGGGAATCCCAAGGCTCACCTTCAATTCATTCTGTACTTTCGCAGTTTGCATGATTGACGCTGTTCACAAGCACTTTATTGACAAAGACTCTTCGGATTCTCTTGACGATCATGAAACCGATCCATTTGGGGCAGTATCTAAACCTTCAGAGTCTCATGATCACGAATATCATCAGTCGGATGAACCCTTCGTGGTTCCGGGTCTTCCCCACCCGATTTCACTCACCCTCCAGCCTCCTAAGAGGTTTTCTAAGGATCTCGCAGCACTAAACGCTGCTATGAAAACCAGCTACGGGCTCATCGTCAATAACTTCAACGATCTGGACTGTAAAGAGTACGTCGATTATTACCGGAAAATTAGTGGGCACAAGGTTTGGCACATCGGCCCAGCTTCTCTGATGCTGCGAAACACGCTACCTCAAAAGGATCATCTTCTTCAACATCAACAAACAAGTGATGAGCATGAATATATAAGATCATGGCTCGACTCTAAGAAACCAAACTCTGTCGTCTTCATCGGATTTGGAAGCCTATGTTATTTCCCTGACACCCAGCTCTTTGAAATAGCATGCGCCATGGAATCTTCTGGGCATTCCTTCATCTGGATGGTTCATAAGGAAGACGATGAAGAAGGGAAGAAAGCATGGCTGCCGGAGGGGTTTGAAGAGAGAATGAAGAAGGAAAACAGAGGGTTGATCCTGACAAAATGGGCCCCACAGGAGCTGATACTGAACCATCCGGCGACCGGAGGGTTTCTGACTCACTGCGGGTGGACGTCGTTGACGGAGGCGGTGGGTGCGGGGGTTCCGTTGATCACGTGGCCGATGTTCGCGGAGCAGTTTTATAATGAGAAGCTGATAACGCAGGTGCACGGGTTTGGGGTGGAGGTGGGTGCAGAGGAGTGGACCCGCACGCCTTATGATGTGATGCAGAAGGTGGTGAGTAGGGTGAAGATAGAGATTGCTGTGAGGAGGTTAATGGACGGTGGAGAAGAAGCTGAAGGGATCAGAAGGAAAGCCAGAGATATGAGAGACAAAGCCAGAGAAGCTGTGGAAGAAGGTGGGTCCTCCCAGAGGAATTTAACGGCTCTGATTGAAGATCTTCGAGACCTTAGTGTGAGCCGGCGTGCACATTAATTTGTGGACTTCAAAATAATACATCAGCCTTTGGGTCATTAAAAAAAAAACAAGAAGAAGAAGACTTGGAGTCATAAATGAATGGATTTAGATTCGATAAGATTTGCTTTATATATATATAAAAAATAAATCTCACTTCGTATGATGGATTTGTGGGGACCGAGAATTAAGATGTGATAGATTCCTTGTATTTGTACTGTCTTGGTTCTTAATATAGGACCTGATTGTTAAGTTAATTTTGATTCTAATTATAAAACCTATTTGTTATACTTATCATTTTTTTTCTGAATTACTTGTATAGATCCCCTTAACCATAATCAAGTAAGTGAGTGGGGAGGATATTAAGAAAAATGATTATAGTATTTAGAAAAAACATGTCATATTTCTTATAATTAACTAGCTTACCTAACTTCCTTAATCCAATCAAATTAGTTAAATAATTTTTATATTAAGAATTAGAAAAGTATTACTTTAATTCATTTTTTTATAGTTGAAAATGTGTCAGCTATTGACTCACATTTTGAGCAATGCTTTTTAACTTTTCTATTCCTTTCGATCCAAAATATAAGATCCATTTTGTAATGTAATTTACATTACAAAATGAATCTTTTATTTAGGACATGAAGAGTATATTAAACAGACTAACTCTTTGAATAAATCTAAATTGTTGACCAAGATCCCCCCCTTTCCTTGCTGTGTTCTTCCTAGATATCATGCTAAAAGGATGTTATTACATGCAAACACATTTGAACAAATTAAGGAGGAATTGATCTCACAATCCCATCTATATACAAGTCCTATTCATATATAGATATAGAAATAATAAAAACAAATTGAAAAGAGGGATTAAGAGAGAGAACACATTCTCCTAGTCAAACAATAATTGTTTCTTAACCGTTCTACCAATCCTATGAATCACGATTACAAAAGTCATAAGCATGAATCATCTTGCTTTTACAATTAAGACAGGTCAAAAACTGATCCAAACATCACATACTACCTCTGATTTATAATATAAGATCTTGTTTGACTTTTATTTTGATCATAAATATAAGACCCCAATTTATTTTGTCTCTCATATTTATTTATTTTTTTCAAGATAATTCTTCTTCTAATAATAATAATTCTAAATAACAAATTTGGTTAGCAACGATATTTTAGGAAAAATAACATCTATTCATTACAAGTAACTAACTTAACTAAATTCCTTAATCTCCTCAAATTAGTCAATTGGGTCTTATAATTAGGACCGGAGGTAGTATAACATACCAAATGTGCTCATGAGCTGGAAAGCTGTTTTAAGGATGCTCAAACATATGGCTATGGGTCCAATTAGAGCCTAAAAATTCCATGACATAACGCGCATAACCTTTTATTATTGAAGGGGTGATACTGAGAGGGAGATTAAACATTAGACATATAGATTGTTATATGCACACGAGAGTTGAAATTTGAACTCCTGCTCACTTACTTAAGTGATGATAGCTCTTATAATTAATTCACATTGACCTAAGTAGATTTGTTCATTGATTTTAGAATAATCCAACCAAATTCTTCTTAAATATTGTCGTAGACTTCTAATTAAGATTAGAATAATCTCAACATGGCAGCCAATGTAACAAAAGTCTTTGAAGACGTTTGCCTTTGAAATTCAATAAAATAATTATGTCGTCAATAATAAATACTATTGCTGGATAAGATGTAAACTCTTCTAATTAAGTAGCTTTCGATAATATTATAGACGTGAATTCATTATTATTCACAACTACTACCTCCGGTCCTAATTATAAGAACCAGTTGACTAATTTGAAGATATTAAGAAAGTAAGTTGAGTTAGTTATTTGTCTTAAATAGGTATTGTCTTTCCTAAAATATCCTTACTAATCAAGTGTATTAACTAGAAATATAATTATTAGAAGGATTATCTTGGAAAAAATTGAGTAAGTATGAGAGACAAAGTTGATTGGGGTCTTATATTTAGGATCAAAATAAAAGTCAAATAGGGTCTTATATTAAGAACAAAAAAAAAGTCAAACAGGGTCGTATATTAAGGACTAGAGGTAGTATTTTAGTACTACTCTTGCAGTTGTAAACATTGCCAAAAAAAAAAAACGCAGCAACTGTACCTTCAACAAGATGATCCCAAATTGGTCATTCAATTCGCCCTATCTTGTCCGTACATAATAATTATAGTCAAATTTAACATCGCAATATAATTAGTACTGGCTCTAATTAAATTATAATTTGCCAAAACACCAATAATTAATCCCATGGGAAGTCAACATGTTAAACTATATGAATACATAAAACTAAAGGCTAAAATAAAAAAGAATTATCTGAAGAATCCTTTTTTCTAATGTTTCAGCCCCTGATAGGCATTTAAAATTTACATATTTACATATTGATTGTTCAATATGTATAGTTCTACGTCCTGTGTATAAATGCATGTGCCTTCTTCGTCTCTCTTCATGCTCATCCGTCCGCCGCCATGGCCAATCCCAAGCCCTTGAAGGTCTACTTTCTCCCTTTCCTCGCACAGAGTCACCGTGGTTCCTTTCTGTCAATTCGCTGGGCTTTTTGCTGCACGTGGCCTCCACGTGACTATCATCACCACCCCCTTGAACGCGCTTCCTTCACTAATTCATCCACCAGGACAAGAACTCCGGCCACCGCGTCCTCATCCACATTCACACAATCAGGTTCCCTTCCGAGGAGGCCAGTCTTCCTGAAGGAACCAAGTATCCTTTGTTTAGACGCAATGCTATTTGAAATACTATCATACATTAAATGTAGGCACTTCCATTTTATTATTGAGTCACATTTGTAAGAATGGCTGAATACCAAGAGGGGGGTCAATTGGGTGTTAGTTAAAATTAAAAACCTTTTCGCAATGTAATGAAATTCATAAGAAATTCTGAGTAAAAAAACAATGAATCGACATAAGCATAATCACAGTAGTAAAATGGTTTAGCTGGAAATATAAAAAGGTAAGAAAAGAGAAGATGCAAACTGTGATTTATCCTGGTTCGGTCCTCACTGACCTACGTCAAGTCCCCAGGCTCCCCCTGAGATTTTCAATCGACTATCTCCCTCAAGTTTAACACAGTACTTGAGAACCACTACAACCACAAGTTTGATTCGGGCACTTGTAATGCCACTTACAATTCTTAGACTAACCAGTCTATTCAACAACAACCTCACACCGAGGTAAATACTCCCCCTTACTCACCGTAAGGATACAATCTAATAATGATAATGAAGATTGAATATTTCTTCTCTCAAAGAAGTAATAGATGAATCTTAAGCATGTTTAGGAAACTCTCCTCTCTATCTTACGAATACATATGTTTTAGTTTATGAAGTACAGAGACGGGGAGTTTTCTCTCGGAGCTCTAAATGAGAATATGTTGATTCGGCATTTTAGCATTTGATGTTGTAAGCTCAGACTCTTCTTCTTTTTCTTGTTTTGAATGCTCTTCTATTTATAGATGATGTTGGCTACTTGACCGTTGAGCATTTTCTTCCCGTTTGACTTGAAGAATATGACTGTTGAAACTAGTCGTTGGAAGCTTCTGACAAAAGTCGGTTCTTCACATCATAAATTCGTTGTGGCTCTTTATCTGAAATAATCTTCCTCAAATCAAGTGATAAGTATTTGATAATCTTAGAAACAATAAGTTAGAAAACATGGAATCAATCAGATATTCAGAAAGTAAGATGAACTTACTTGATCGATAAAGCTTTGATCGATCATATTATCGATTAATTGCATGAGAAAAAGATATAGTAAATATATGCAATTATCGAATAGATTATGGATCATATGATGATCGAACAAATGATCGATAAATGATGAAGCATGTATGCAATGAGCTTTAAATGGATTATGCAAGGATAATCTTTTTCAAGTTACGTTTGCCTTCATATCCTTTTAATAGAGAGTTATGTATAAAAAGAAAGCTGAGAAAAGCTTAAAGATAAAACGATAAAATATTTCGAAATCATCGTGAAATGCTGTCATGGAATGAACTTGTACAATGATCGAACAAGTGATCGAAAACTTGTTGATCGATCATGCTATTGATAAACAAGGTGTTATAGAAATAGATATTAAAGCAATAATGATCGAACACATTATCAATAAATAGATAATGGACAACCTTATCGATAAACAATAAGCAAAAGTATATTCAGTGAAAACACAGGCTATGTAAGTTGATCGAATAGGTGATCGATCATGTTTTCAATAAAGAGGTTTATTCTTGTAAAATCAAAGAACTGATTTATCGATCACGTTATGTGAAAGCAAGGTAAACATGAAGTGCGGTGATTGATCATATTATCAATAATGAGATTATCGATCCCGTGATCGAAGAATCATGGTTTAAAAGCGATGTGCTAATTATCGATCATGTGATCGATAATTTGCTGATCGATCAGGTGATCGATAAGCTACTGAAATAATTACCTGCACGCAGAGTTATGAAGCAATGTTCGATTATATTATCGATAAATGACTGATCGATAAGGTGATCGATAAATGGAGACTAAAACAAAACATAGAATGAGTAGAACGCATTACCGTTTATCTGTTTTCTAATCGATAATCTATTTATCGATCATGTTATCGATAAATGCCTATTTATCCATAACGTTAACCTTGTTTATCGATCAAGTGATCGATAAATACATTTATCCATAATGTTATCCGAAAACCATTTATCCAACAGGTTATAAAACCTTAATAATGCATATGAAGATAAAAGAGAAGAATTGAAGAGATAGTACCGGGAACCCGATAAAGTGATCGAGTATGTAGTTGCTTGATCAGGCTCGAGTAACATCTGATAATGGCTTTTCATTTCCTCATTTCTTCTAGTGCTTTTACTCAATAACATATTTGAGTAGCATGTTGCTCGAGAGCTTAATCAATCAATGTAGAATTTCTGGTCTTTGCCTCAATAAATTCGAATTCTGATTCAAGCAGAACGAAGGTCAACTTTGAGTGATCATAACTCTTCGAATTCAACTCTAAATTTTACAAATAACCTATCCCCAGAAAGCTCTTTGAGTCTACTTTCTAATGCAATAAGAATCACCTAAAAATTCGTTGTATTTACAAAGTTATCTTCATCACAGTGACTGAAGGTCGGAATCAAGGCGTTAATCCTTACTTCAATATTTCGAACAACATATCTCCCTCATATGAAACTCTTTGAAGTTGATTTTGGTGTCCATGAACCGTGTTCTGAGTCTAGTTTCATATGAATTAAGTTTTACATCAAACAGATTTGTGGTTTAAGAGATATTAGAGAAATACCAAACCTATATCAGAGTTGAACGAAGAACAAAGCATAACAGAGTATGTGTTTTATCGATAACTTGATCGATAAGTGGATGATCGATCAAGTGATTGATAAATGCCCATCAAAATCACCTCTGAAGCTTATTTTCCATGTTTATATAAAGGGTGACTCAATATATGATTATATAACTTCTGGTTTGTGCATTTTAGCTTCCGATTGAGCCATTCAAACTTTTGATTGAGCATAGCAACCTTTAATATCAAATCTATAAACTTGAATCTTGATATTTCCATTTGGTCTTGCAAGTTCTTCTTTTCTCAATCTCTCTTCTTCTTCTTCCTCTTGATCATTCTTCACAACTCAAAGTTCAACATAATAACTCATTTCTTTTCTTGAGGAAACTACACAGGATATTAAGTATGATAGTTAGTCAAAATATGAGGTAAATAATTTATGCAAATTTTTGCTCTATTATTTGACATCATCAAAACTAATCATATCTAACAACATTTTATTTTAGTTTTGCTAAGACATATAACTTCCTATAAAAGATAATATGTCTTTTTTTTTTCCTAAAGCATAGGTATCCTCTTATTAGAGACAATCCTATTCGAGGCACTGTCAGGTACTAAATGTGGATACATCTCCCAGTAGGGATTCGAACCTTGATTTGTCATGTTATGAGGGACTAGCTTCTTTTACTAGACCTAGTTCTCGTTGGTGATAATATGTCATATTTAAATACGTTGATATGTGGGCACCAATATACAAATGGTTGGGTTGTTGGGCTTGTAGTTGGGCATATAGGGGTGGTCATCCTGCAAGTATTGGGATTGGGTATATCAGTTAAGACTTGAGACCTTCGAATTTCCCAAACTTAAACATCGGCCCAACAAGATTGAGTCGCCAATCTCGTTGGTGGCATCTCTGGGCCCCATTGGGGTCACTTAGTATTTATGCCACTAACTTACACAGTCATGGGCAATTTCTCTTGTTTTTGTCCACCCCAAGTTTAATGACTCATCAAATTCTGAATAAGTAAACGAAAATTAAAACAACGGAATGTGAGGACCAGAATTATTGGGAGAGGGGGTTATTTCTGGAAGCTTCTGTGATTTGGCAAGAAATGGGAGAAACAGTGGGAACCACTTTCGGATCAAATCTAGACGATCTATATCTTATTTGAATAATCTTGATTTATAATATTTAATTAATTATTTTTTGAAAGAATGATAGTTAAAAGATTATTTTTATTTTAGATTCTGTATATGTTAAAATAATTATTTTAAAAAAATAAAAATAAAAAAGAAATCAGATTTAAACTAGCTAAATGAAATATAAACAATTTAGATCTAATAAGTTTAAAATACTCATTAAAGTTATCATTAGAAACGGATTCTCGAAACATTGAGGCTTATACTGTTTGAATGGGGATGCAGGGAACGTGTGTGGACCAGAGAGAGAGAGGGAAGTTGGGGGGTCGTATTCGTGGGAAGAGTGTTAATTTGATTGACGCCCTTTTTATCAGCAAAACGACATCGCTTCCATCATTCTAATTCCATACTAAGGAGATTCTCTCTTCTCCGCTTTTTTGTTTCTGTGGTCTCATCCCCGCCATCTGTTTTCCCTTTCTCTTCCTCTGCCACCCTTTTCTTTTTGCTTTTGTTTAATTGAAAAGCAGTTAATTAACCCGTGGGCCACAACAAAAATTTTCAGCCTATTTGATCTCAGCATTATTTATATAATATTTTATCATTTCCTATGTTTCAATTAAAATTTTCAAAATTCAAACTACAAAACCATGGAAGCATCTAACTATATACTTCCACTAGACCATGGTTTAGGGGAAGAGACAAGTAGAGTAAGGGAATCTTATGACCAGTGATTGACTTTTATCTTAATAAGATGCATCTTATTCATATACGGTTACATATGTAGACTATAATAATAATCCCTAAGATTCTTTTTCTTTTTTCTTTTTATTAAATATAAGTAGTATACGTTTGCAAAAAATTTAAAAATAAATTGCATTATTCATGATTCATTTACATATAGCTTGTTAGATTTTTTATATTATATATAAACCATTTGGTATTTAATATTATCAATCCAGCTTTGAGTATTTAATTTCAAGTACAATAAATAAGAGTAGCTCTTTTTTTTTTAAAAATTAAAAGCATAAACACTAACAATTTGATATTAAAAGGATAAACTCATGACTTCTCTTTTACAGAAAAGCATTATGTGACTAATCTACAAAGCTACTAGTAAGAATAACTCTTCTGAATATGTTATAGAAAGAATTATTTGGGTGAGAAAATTATTATTATTATTATTATTATTATTATTATATATTAGAGAAGGGAATTGATACCTTTGCAAACCGAATGTGATTTTTCTAATTAAAAGAAAATGTTTTTTTCCTGGTAAATGGCCTGGAATGGAAGTTAGGGTAACACAAAACAAAGCATATTCTGCTTCCAATACTGTGTTGGAGAATCAGGTTCTAAGCTTTTTTTCACTTTATACCATTCTCAACTTTTTAGCTAAGGTAAAGCAAGGCATTTTTGCTTTCCTTTTAAGAACAATTCAACAAGTTTTTATTTGCATCTCCTACCAAAAGCTGTGTGAATTCTGTTCCATTTTTTTTCCTGATACTTGTGATCTTCTTCACTCGTAGGCAATGAATTATCTTTTAACCAGAGAAAAATCAATCCTGATTCTCCCGGGGGGGGGGGAGGGATCTCTTATTTTCTTCCCACAGTTTCATAATATAATACTCACCAAACATTTACGATCACATTACAGAGAGAAAGAAACTTGATTAAATATTATCAACATAAGTACACAGCTTTGCTTCTCAGTTCTGCACATAATTTACACATTTCATGTCAAAACTCAAAATACAGTGCAATATTAACAGCGAGATGATGAAAGAGCCTCAAGTGTCAGCAGGATTAGTAAGCCAAAAGGTTTTGAAACACTAAAACGTTTACAACCTTTTTACTCTTACTTTTACTTACATACACATGACATTGACACTGACATAAAACTTTAAACCTTTTTAGCTCTGAACTGGTGAAACCAAGGTCTCAACATAGACTTCTGCATCAAACCAACCTTTTCCACCTTCAATCCTGGGATACTTAAATGACTGGTCCTTTGGGTCATACAGAACCAAGTCAAACTCAAACATTAACAGGACTTGACCATTCTTTGAGATGCAATATGGCAATGAGTATGAAAAATCTTCTGGATTAGGAAGATATGGAATGCTTACCAGTTTCACCCAGGATTCCCTAACGCCATAGTCCTTCATTAGCCACACAACAAAATGGGTCTTCTTGTAGTCATAGTTCATGCAAAGGCAGCCTCTCAGAACACCTAAAGTTGGTGTGGAACATTCCTCTTTCTCATACTCAGGAGGATGAACTTCCCTGTAAGTTTCATTATGAAGATCCAAAGATACAATAACCCACAAAGAAGCTGGACCAGATGAGTAATTTGCTGCCCAATTAAGAGAGCCACTCACGAATTTCCCAGGATTCTGGTATGGTGTGACACCAAAAGGGAAATCCTGAATCCTCCTCCATGAATTAGAAGCCATACTGAAAATTTTAACCTTAGTTTCACTGAAGTACACATTGGGGTCACAGAACACAGCGACGACCTTGTAATCGTCGGCGACATGATCATAGCCAAGCCCAAAAGCAGTGTAACATCCAGGTCTCCAATTATTACCCAGAGGCGGTGATTTCTTCGATACTCTAATTGATGGGTTCCAGAGAAGCACAGACTCAGCTTTAATGGCGAAACAGAGTAATCCATGACAGGAACCTATGATACCATCATGGCGAAACTTGTTCTTTACCGGGTAATTAAGGTCCTCAGAAATGGTGGATGGGTTATTGAACAAAGAACTCACATGGCAGGATTTGAGATTGAATTCTGCACTTGTGGAACTTAAGATGATCCTATGGTGTGTGAAATTGGGGCTTTGAGTTGACAAGCGAAGGTGCTTCCTCACAAAGTAAGAGTCTGAAATTAACGAGTTCCATCGCTTACAAACGCACCTGAATCTCAGAAGCGACTTCACGGGAAGCCTCGAGAGAATTTCTTCAATGAGTTCATCAGGAAGGAATGGCAGAAACGGAATCAAACCCAGTGAAACGGCGTCGTTTCTAGGCGGAGCTCGATATTGATCCTGATGATTGATCGAAGAAGGTGGAAGCAGCTCGAAACTTCGAGTCTTGTGATTAAAGATTCGCTCTCGCTTCCGAGTAGAATCGGGAGTCAGCCGGAGAAAAGCAGGACCTCGGCGGTGGCGGTCGTGATCGCCGTCGTCTCCCGACGACATAACGGTAATGGTGGAGATTGTTGTGCAAAGAAAAAGGATTTCCTTCGGAGAGTCTGTGGGTTGTGGTGAGGGGTGAGTTAGTGAGTGAGGGATTCTGATTTCTCGTCCCCTTGTTCTGCTCTGTGATGGTGTTTCTGGTTCTTCTTCAACCTCTCGCTGTCACAGATTCACTGTGGCCTATGAAGATTAACACATTACCATGATTGCGCGCCACAAACGCGCCACGACAGCATTCTCCTTTTTATTTTTCAATTTAATAATCTTAATATAATATAATATCCTTTTTCCTTTTTTTTCTTGTTCCTTTTATTGCCCCTTCCTCCTTCGGACAATAATACAACATGAAGTTGCAGTTGCGTTAAGACACAAAAATCATAAAATGTTTCATGAAAAAAAACCATGTAACTTAATAACACAAAAAGTATACTTATAAATCCCGTTCGGAAGGAAGCATTAAAAGATTACGATTAAAATTAAAAAAATCTATTAAAAAACGTTTAATATAAGATATTACTTGTTATATAGAATTAACCAAATTCATGCATGTGAGAGTGAGGATATTAAGAAAGATGACTATGGTGTTTTAGGAAAAACATGTCATATTTCTTATAATTAACTAACTTATCTAACTTTCTTAATATAATCAAATTAGTTAAATAGGTCTTATATTAAGGATAGGAGGAGTATAACGTTAAAAGAACTAAATATATTATTTTACCTTTAAATATGGATAATTTCAATATGCAGATTCTGATGTTTAAGGAAAAGATTTTGTATAATTAAAAATCATCAACTATAAAGTGTTGCAGTGATCTGAAACTGAAAGTGTAGAAGCTTCCTTCAGTATTTAAAAAAAATCTAAAATAAATCCATAAAATTTGAATAATAATAATAATAATATGACGTGTTTAACAACCTTCCTCCGTTTTGGAAAGGAACTTTTAACAATAACTGGTTTTTCTGGGAAAATTCAATGGGGCAACTTTAGAGAAGACAAAGCCAGTACAAGTACAAATACAACAATAAATCCATAAATTCCTACGTCCTTTTCAACCTCACAAGTACTTTTTTGGACCTCCAAAGTTATTCACCTTTCGCAATTTACCAGAAATGTCAAGACTTAAAGGAGTATACGGAAAATGAAGATAAATTAAAATTAAACATTATTTATTTTGGAAAAAAAATTAGTGAAAGAAATCAGCTGATATCAAAGAACTTTGAGGAGGTTACTGCAAACCTGATGATCAAGTGGGGTTGAGTCTTACTTCGTCATCATCACCGTCTAGCGGCGGCGGGCGGCTGCGCTAAAGGCTGAGTCTGCAAAATTTTCGGTGGCGGTGAAGGAGTTTTCGCGGTCGTCGTCTTAATCTTCTTCTATCACAACCACTAGTGATCAGCGATCACAGAAGTTGAGAGGTTCGTGGTTTTAAAGAAGAAGATGATAATGATGAGTTTGTATTTATCATGACTTAGCCCCACAGCCGTGAGGTCACAGCTTTCTTTTATTTGCTTTTAGCCTATCTCTTCCTTCTCTCTGGATAAGACAACGGCAACTTGAGAGTCTCCCTGTGCGAGTCACTGCAAAGTTGATCTGCAAAACGACAGCAAAAATTTTTTATGGAAAAAATATTGGAGACCATGTTAAGTGAATTCTGTGACCACAGTTATTGCCCTTATTTTATTATCTGATATAATTAACCATACTGTTAACAAACATGCTAACATTAAGCTCAAATATAAAAACCTTATTCAAATAATCGGTACTATTAGTATTATTTCTGGTTATAATTATAAGATTTCATTTATAATTTATAACAAGGTCTTATAATTAATAACTCTTTAACCATATCACTATGACTATAGTGATGGTTTCAATTTTGTTGTAGGAGGTTGGTTGTTGTATCTTTTTATCCAGCGTTAAGAGATTCAGAGATTATTTGGACCTGTATTCCAAAAATTTTATAAGCATGTTCATATAAGTTGAGATAAAATCTTTTTCATATACGTATTTTACATTTTATAAATTATAATTAAATAGTTATTGATAAGTAATTATAAACAAGCGTGTAATCTAATTGTTGATTGGAGGTAATAGACGTAGTAGTTGTGTTGGAGGTTTGTATATCCTGACTTGGGAATTTTTCTATGAAGTGGTATGTGACGTGTGGTTTAACCATTTTATTTGAAAAAAATTCTGGGGTGATATGGACTTATCGCCTTCAAGTTGTGAACATCATTGTCAAGCTTTTGCAGTACATAGGAATTGAATGCCAATAATTGTCTACTTAGATTCTTATTAGTTGTTTTTTCTGTAGCTTTGTCAACTTGTTTCAAGGCCATTGGTTGATCTGTTTTGGTGTTTATCATCTTAGCAGGTTCTCATGGCCGTGACTCCTCTGTGCCTTTGTCTTAAATTTGTTTTTTGGGTTAATATAATTTTTTATTCTTTAAATTTGTCCTGTTTTAGTCTCTTAAATTTTAAATCATAAGTTGTGGTCTTTGAAAAAACAGAATGGTCCGAGTTTTTATTTAAATTATAAAGATCAATGTTATAACTGAAAAGGAACTTGATAGACTAAAATTTATTGTTTGAAATTTGAAGAACCAACACCAAAATGACAATAAATTTGAGGGATCAAAATTTGTATTATCCTTTCTTTTTGTTTTTACATGATTTATTTTTTTAATTTCCTTTTTAAATATCATCTTCTCTGAGTTAATTAGTCAAGCATTATCGCTACTTCGCCCCTCTAAATTCTTCCTTAACGGCTAAACAATTTTAATTTGGATTCTATTATGTGATGTGAAACAACGTTGTTGATGTTTTTCACAAAGGAACAAAAAAAAATCAACCTGGAAATCACTCTAACTCTTGTGATCCAACTTTTTGAGAATTTTTGTAAAAAATATACTACGGTCCTTAATATAAGATTTTATTTGATTTTTAATCTGGTCTTAAATATAAGACCCAAATCTAATTTGTTTCTAATATTTATATATATTTTTTTAAAATAGTCCTTCTAATAATAATAGTTCTCACCAACAACCTTGATTAGCAAGGATATTTTTGAAAAGACAATACCTATTTATTACAAATAATTAACTTAACTTACTTCCTTAATCTCTTCAAATTGATCAACTAGCTCTTATAATTAGGACAAAAAATAATATTATTGTACTATACTTATTTTAAATAGAGACGTTTTGATTATGGATTGAATTGCGAGAGGACGTAGAAATAAGAAAATATCACGAAGTAGTATTAAAACTTTAAGATCATGTATACATCATGAATTAATATTGCTATTAAAAAAATTAAAGATCCCTATCCATATTTAGTCATATACGATTGTTCCAATTTAAGACCACATGTCAACATAGCATAGCCTGAGCCTACCAAATGTCAATTTGAGCCATGCATTTATCGACTGATGTGAAACTATGTTCAAGTGTGGGAAGAATATGTCAAAATAAATTAGAAATATATATATATTCACATCGATATATATTTTTATTATGAGCACTTCAAAGATCTTTTAATTTAAAAGTATTGTTGCTTTGATCAGCACAAACAAACTGACGCAATATGAGATAATACTAATTAAATAATCATCATTCGATTTTTGGCCTTTAATTAGTGAAAAATCAGAATATCCCACTGTGAATATTGTTTCAAAAATGATATGATTACATAATACAATAATGTGCATTGTAATAATTTAATTCTTGAATTGAATTATTAATCATATGGTCCGCTGTTTAAAAATCTGAAAGGTGGGTTGACATATTTGTTATATCTGTGTGTGTGTGTGGGCGGATCAGACTGTTTGGTTTAGCGTTGGATTTTTCTCTCTCTCCCTATCATGTTTGGCCGATCCAAATTTCTGCACATAAATAATAAACAGTCTTATCTGCAATTAGCTTCATAATAATGTAAGAAACATTTCATAAATATTATACTACATGAGTAAAAAAAAATAATTTTCAAATTAAAAGAAATACTTATCAGCATAGAAATTGCTCATATATAAATATCATTATGAAATATATAATATGTAAATGTAATGTACAGTTTTATATTTGATAGATATGTGTAAATGGTTCCGTGAGTTTTGTAAATTATCTCAAAAGGCTAATAATTTTTTTTTAAAAATTAAATAGACAGACACTAACATGAAATTACAAGTAGAAGATTATAACCTTTCATTTACATAGAGGTTTTTGTACTAAGAGGCCACAAGGCTATTGACAACTCAGGGTAATTTTTGAAACAAAGAAATTAATTTAATTGGTGATCATTGTTTAGTATATATATTTTGTACCCATGTAGAACAATATCAAGGCTTTAGATTTGGATAGCCCTAACTGCTAAATATTCATGTTGACTTTTGTCCTCCAAGTGGAGCTTCATGCATATCTGTATCCCCAGTTGTCAGATTTTGCTCCAAGACAAGCCAAAAACAGTCATTTTAACCACTTTTCTTTTTCTTTGAAACAGTTTTGTTATTTCAAAGGAAATAAAATTAATTTATAAAAATTAAAAAAAATTAAATTAATTACTTGTAATAAATTAATATTGTATTACCTAAAATACTCTTGTTAATTATGTGCACTGAAATTACCCTAACATATATAATCACTTTACAGATTACTTTGAGAAAAATATATAAATATAAGAAACAAAATAGATTGAAATATTATATCTATGATAAAATTAAATCTCGAACTAGCTCTTATATTAAAGTTACAATATCTGTGTTTTTTTTTCCCGCTAGGTTTCTCTTTCACTTTTAGGAAAAAAAAATATACAAACATTTTCTATGAACTACATATATATTTATTTATATATTAGCAAACCACGGGTTTCTGAAATAATTAATCCGGATAAAATGGCCAGGCTTTAGCCAAATGTAACTTATAAAAGTTGTCGTATGTTCTCACACAAATTAAACTTGAATATGACTCTTGCAAGGAAGTGAAAGTAAACTCTTCTGTACATGATATACAATGACGTTATATATCCTCACACAATGTCTATCCATCAACCAATCACAAATATATTCCAGCACAGCATTAGCATGGAACTTATAATTGCTCAAGCTGATCCAGCCACTAATACACCAATCGAGTTGTGACAATTTTTCAAACGATAAACATTATCTCATAGAAACATAACCCAGAGATGCTCGAATAATATAACTGTAAGATGATCAAATATAACCATGCAGAATGCAGGGGAGGGAACAGGAAGGATTTCTCCAGAATTATTTTCCCCCTTCTGAATTGAACACAAGAAAGGAAAATATAACTGGTGAAGAAAGATAGAACATTCCATTCCATTCCATTCATACCCCATACCTTCTTGCTCATTCTTGTTGCTCGTCTTCTTCTCCACTGTCACAAGGGAGTGAAAGTAAACTCTCTGTATAAACAATGGCGTTATCCTCATGAACTTCATAGACGTATTCAAGATATTCTAGCACTTTTCCTTTGTCGTTGCACTTTACTAATCCTTTGCCACCATCTGAATAATCTGATCCAACAATTTCACCGTTTTTGGTCAAGCAGATTGGGAAGAAGTAGTCACCAGGAATCTCAACTGACACAACCATGGATTTTGTCCAAGATGACCTCGCTCCGTATTCCTTCATCAACCATATTTCAACTTCGTCGTCCCCAAGAACAGATAGACTGAGACATCCTCCGAGTGTCCCCAGATAAGTGAATTCCAGGTTTTGGAAGAAATCGTCAGGCAGAGGAATATCAGTGAACTTCCTCTGTGTTACATTAAAGGCAAGAATCAATTCAACTTCGGTATCGTGGCGAAAGGCCAACCAATGAATAGCTTCATTCAAAAACAACCCAGCTCTAGGGTCATCAATGGCATTCATATATGGAAAATTGTGGGCATTCCCAATTTTTTTCCACGAATTGGCTTTCATGGAGAAAACCTGGAAATCGGATTTGAAGTCAGCATCGCTTGGATCATAAGCTCCGAGAACTACCAAGTAATCATCATCGGAGGCGTCGTAGCCGAGACCATGAATGAAAGGGAAAAATTGGGACGACATAGGGAAGTACGGCACTCGCTTGTGGAAACCAGTTGATGGATTCCACACAAAGAAGTGATAATCAGGATCTAGAAGCACGAAGCCTCTGCAAGAACCCCTAATATTCGCACCAAGAGGAGGTGGCATCATGGGAAAATTAAGGCTTACAACCGCAGAATCGTCATCGAAAGACGAGTGGAAATCTATGGATCGAGCTCCAGAATCAGTTAAGTGAACAATTTTATCGGCAAGGGACGAAGAAATTTCAAAATGGGATTGGGCAAAACGAGGATCGGAAATCAGAGAACGCCATAACTTACATACAGATTTGAAACGCAACAGAGATTTGACAGGCAATCTCAAGAGGATATCGACGATCAGCTTCTCAGGGAGACTCGCCATGATCGCCACAACCTCAAGCGAGCTCCGATCGGAAGATAGGAAGTCCAATTAACGAGACTTGCTTGCTTGATTGAATAGTGAAAAGCGGAAACTGCGAGAAAATTCAACTCGTGGCCCATAGGGGAAGGAAAATCAGCCATAGGTGGGGCACAAGGATGAGACGAAAACGTCAATGCCGTTTGTGCCATAGCTATGTCGCAACTAGCAATCTGCAACAAGTTTTAACGAAACAACAGATCCGATATCGCTAATCCACGCGTTTCTTAATCACTTTTCAGACATTTGACTTATCAGATCTTATCCATACGTAAATAAGCTTCTTGCAGAATGATGCATTTGAAATCCCACCAGAATGATATATAATTAATTGTATTAATGAAGTCAAAATAGAACAAAATTAACGAAGCATGAAGTATCTGCAGATCAAAATACACAAGTGTGGTCTCAAGGAAAGGGAAGTAAAGTTTCAGCATATAGAATTGTAGATCTGTGAAATTCTAGCGGATCATAATATTTACGATATTCAAGCAGTTCTCCTTTATCACTCCATTTTTATAATCCTAAATGACTATCTTCCGCAACAAGTTGACCATCTTTGTTGAAGCATAATGGCGAATAAAAGTAATTGATAGCTATACGATGATGTCGCACGGAAAATAACTTAGTCCAACACCATATTTTCTCCCCATGTTGTCTCATCACCCATACCTTCACTTCAATGATAGACTGGGAATCAATTAGAGTAAGGCACCCTTCAAGTACTCCTAAATCCCAAAATTTTAGTAAATATCATCAGGTGGCATGGCCACTTCTCCAAGACTCTTTGTTGTCATATTGAATGCAAAATTTTTTGCTTCATGTGGACGCTGTGGGTTCCAAACTAACAAATGAAGAACTCCGTCTAAGATTGCACATCTAGGGAGACGAGGAGGTACATTATTAGTACGATGAGGATGGTAATTGAGAGGCAGTTTTGCAGATGAATTGGTTCTGAGAGAGAACCTCAAAGCTTGTAAATAAACCGAAGGAACCATAATGGGCAAGCAGAAGTACGTAATCATCAGTGGATTCATCGTAACAAAAGCCACAAGGAACTACAAATTTCCACGAAAGACGAGGATGTGGTGGGATGCGTTTGCAGAAACCGGTGGAGGGATTCCACGAGAAAAGTTTCTGTTCTGTCTCGAGCAAGCGAAGCACAAGGCCTCGACAAGAACCCAGAATACGAAAATCAGTATGAGGTTGATGAAGGAGGAAATGGAGCTTTACAGAAGCGGAATCATCATGAAAGGATGTGTAATTGATATCTATGGATCGAATTTCTGAAGCAATTTTGTAAAGGAATCGATGGCTGTATTGTTGGGATGATGTTCGCTGATAATGAAGTTCGGAGAAATTAGGGCTACATATCAAACAGAACCTGACTTGGACACGCTTTAAACGCGTCAGGAATTTCACAGGCAAGCGAACAAGTATTTCAATCTTCAAATCTTCAGGAAGCTTCTCCATGCTTGCCCCTGGTTTGCTTCAGTAGTGATTTGTCTGCACAAGTGACCACATAATATATGTGTGCGCATGTGTAGTGATTTGAGATAATAGGTGATCCTCTAAACAGATTTGGGGAGGAGATAAGATAATATTTTTCAGGATTTGAACTGAAAATCATGCCCATAAACAAAATATTTATTGACGTTTCCTTTTCGAATTTTCAATATATTTAAAAAGATTAATATCATTTTTAAGTCTTAAAATTTGATCTTCACTGAAAGATATACTTTGGCCTAGAATGGATTTTCTTATGTAATCATCAGTAGAAAATGTCATCGTTATATTGATCAGATCGGCTCCTCTGCAACAGAATCATAACAAACTACGAATCCTGTTTCTTCAAAAAGAGAGTGCACTACTGTGATATTCCATCAGCCTATTAATTACAAGGAGCAATCCAAAAGCATCCAAAAACCTTGAATAGAACTACTACATCATCACTGGCAAACCTTTATAAGCTGCGGTGTATCATGGAGAAGAGCATGAGCCAATTTGCTGTACTGTCTCCTACGACAAGAATTAACAAAAAGCATAATTAAACCATAATAAAGTGCTTTTCAATAGCAAAACATCTATATATACACACATATAATCAAGTGCTTTTTATAATTCATTAACTAGCATTGATGGATGCATGTAATCCCAACAAGCCATATTCTAACAGTATCACCATGTATAGTATTAGCAGCAATTAAACTTCCTCCAGTCCTTGAAAGTTCCATCATTTGGTAAATTTTCAAAACTGCCATAATCATGATGTTTGCCGGTCTACATGATTTTGGGTTTCAACTTTCAATATTACTCCATCTCAACACAAGTAGAGGATCAAGTACCTCATCCTCCCAACCGGTAACTATCACTTTGAGCCTTCTCCAAATAATCACACTACGCTAACGGGAGGGAGAGCAAAGTTTCAGTGTATACACTTGCACACGCAAGCGAACTTGGGGAAGGATAAAACTTCCGATGTTCTAGCAGTTCTCCTCTGTCATTCAATTTTACTAATCCTAAGGTACCGTCTGTGGCAACAAGTTGGCTATCTTTGGTGGAGCATAATGGTGAAATGCTTTCAATGTGCGCCTCGTAAGCAGAAACTGTATACAGCTTAGTCCAAAATGACTTCACTCCATATTCTCTCATCACCCACATCTTAATTACATCACGGTTCTCAGTTAGAGTTAGGCATCCTTCAACTACTCCCAAAATACCCAAACCATACTCAAAATCATCAGGTGCAGGTATCTCCCGTAAATTCTTCGTTATTATATCAAATGAAATGATTGTAAAACACTCAGGTGGCGGTTGTTGAATACGCTTGGCAAACCAATGAATAGCACCGTTTAAGATCGAGCCAGCCGTTGGCTCATCATCCCATTGAGAGGTATATTGGCAATCCTCAGCAAGTATTTCCCATGATTTGGTTTTGATAGAGAAGAAAGCAAGGACCTCTGATACGAGAACCAATAAGTAGTCATCAGTGGACTCATCGTAAGCAAAGCCATACATATATACAAATATATCCGGATCCAATGCTGGTATCTTTCTGCAGACACCATTGGACGGATTCCATAGATAAAGTTTTTGTGTTTTATTAACAACTAGAAACAGAAACCCTCGGCAAGAACCCATGATCTCGAGATCAGCAGGTGTCCTACGACGGGGAAAATTGAGCTTTACAACAGCAGAATTGTCGTTAAGGGTGTGTTTGGTTGGAGGGGAAGGGAGGGGAGGGGAGGGAAAATGAGCCCCTCCCCTCATTTGGTTAAAAATTTTGGAGGGGAGGGGAGCTAAAATGTCCCCTCCCCTCCCCCATTTTGGCTCCCCTCCAAATTGGGGGTTTTTGGAAGGGAGCCAAAATTTTGGACCATTATGTCCTTATGGTTTTTTTAATATTTCACTTCTACCTATAAAATATATTATTATAATATTTATTTCAAATAAAAATATATTATCCTAAGTAAAAAAATAAAAAATATATACATTATTATAATTAAAAATATATTATAAAAATTATTTATAAATAAAAAATTATTTAAATAAAAAATTATAATATATAAAATTAATTGTTTTTTATAAATATATTTTAAAGCTGGAAAAAAAATAGCCAAAATAAAATTTCATTTTTCTCAGAGCATATAAAATTTGTTAATTTGATTATTTTAAATATATTATTATATTAATTAGAATAAAAAATTACTATACCAATTTTTTAATACATATATTAACATGATAAGACTGAATTTTTATTAAATTATATGATTTAAATTAAGATGTAAATTAATTTATATAATATATCAATAAAAAACATAAACTAATATGTAAGGGTAAAATGGTAAATTGATTATTACTATTCCTCTCCTTCCTTCCTTGAACCAAACAAGGAATCATTAAATACCCTCCCCTCCCTTCCTTTTTAATCAAACCAAATAAGGTGAGGATAAAACCTCCCCTCTCCTCCCCTACCCCTCCCTCCCCTCAAACCAAACAGGCCCTAAAGGAAGCGTTGAAATCTATGGATTGAAATTGCCCAGCAGCAGACACAAGGACACGACAGGAGTGTTGGGAAGATCGTTGTAAATGCAGTTCCGCAAAACGGAGACCGGAAATGAGATGGAACCACGACTTAGAAACACACCTGAAACGCAGGAGAGATTTCAGGGGCAAACGAAGAAGAATCTCTACTATCACTTCTTCGGGAAGGTGCTTCTTGTTTTCTCCCCGTCGTAATTTGTGTGAGACAGCACCTGAGAGAGAGGAATCGGCTTTTCTTGTTCTGCAATGGAGTGAAGCTGACCGAAAAAAAGCGCTTGATCGTTTCAGTCGATTCCTCCTTAAAGAAATTTGGCTCCTTAAAGAAATTTGGAAAAGAAAAGACTTAGAGCTTGGAAACAGAACCATGATGGGGCTAGCTCAAAGGTTCGGGAACAGAGTGAAGCCGGAGGTAAGAGAGTGTCGCTCGCTCTGGAAAATAGTTCTGTTGCTTGCGGGGAAGATGAATGGAACCTAGAAATGGGTTTCAAATTTTCAGAGAGAGCGCGCGAAAAGCATGAAGGCATGTATAATTTATTTAATTTATAAATCATACTCCTCCGGTCTTTAATATAAGACCCATTTAACTAATTTGATTAGATTAAGGAAGTTAGGTAAGTTAGTTAATTATAAGAAAAGTGACATATTTTTCCTAAAACACCATAATCATCTTTCTTAATATATCCTCTTCTTCTTCTACTTGACTATGGTTGAGGGGTATCCATAGGGGTAATTTAGAGAAGGGTTAATTAATCTGTAAGTCCTTATAGTTTCAACCAATTTTGAATCAGGTCCTTATAGTTTTTTTTCTTTTTATTAGATCCTTATACTTTTACCTTTTTTTAATTAGGTCCTTGTATTTATTTTTCTTTTAATTAAGTCCTTATAATTTCATTAAATTTTTAATCAGGTCCATGTAGTTTTAATTTTTATTATTAATTAAATATAAGCTTAATTAAATAGATTAATAATGAAATATAAAATATTAATAAGTAAATTAAATTAATAATTATGTAATAAAAAATAATATAATTAATTAATTCAGGAAAATTTTTTAGAACAATTAATTTTTTTCTGAAAAATTTAAAATTATTATAATAATTCAATATCTTTAGAATATTATTGTTTATAAATAATATATACTATTTTATGTTTATATAATAATACTATTAGAATTCATAAAATAAAGAATAAAAAATTCAGGGACTTAATTAAAAATAAAATGAACTTATAAGGACTTGATAAAAAGAAAAATAAATACAAGGACCTAATTAAAAACAAGTGAAAGTATAAGGATCTGATAAAAAGAAAAAAAACTATAAGGACCTAATTCAAAATTCGTTGAAACTATAAGGACTTGCGGATTAATTATCCCTTTAGAGAAAATTGATAAATATGAGAAATGGGTCTTATATTTAGAATCAAAACTAACTCAAGAATTAGGTTTTATATTAAGAACCGGAGGAGTATATAATGAATCTTACATATTCAAGTAAAATTTGTTATTACCTTCTATTCTAATTATAAGAGCCAGTTGGCTAATTTGAAGAGATTAAGAAAGTAAATTGAGTTAGTTATTTATCCTAAATAAATATTTTCTTTCCTAAAATATCCTTACTTATTAAGTGTATTGACTAGAAATATCATTGTTAGAAGGGCTACTTTAAAAAAAAAAAGTATAAATATGAGAGACAAAGTGGATTGGGGTCTTATATTTAGGACCAAAATAAAATTCAAACAGAGTCTTAATCTTACATATTTATTACCTTTGGTCCTTAATATAAAAATTATCTGAATATTAAATTTGGTTTTAAATATAAGATCTCAATTTATTTTGTCTCCTAAATTTGTAATTTATTTTCTAAAGTATCCATAATGATTACACATATAAAGAGAGTTGAAATTCAAAAGTAGTCATAATTAAAAAGGATACTTTATAAAAATCAACTCATATTTATTACAAATAATTAGCTTAACTAATTTTTTTAATTTATTCAAATTGACTAAGTAATTCTTATGTTAAGGAGAAGAGGTAGTATCATATATATATATATATATATATATATATATCCAATCCTTCTTGTTGATTACTTCCAAGGTTTATCTGGTACACATAAAAAGGAATTAGAAGCGCAGAAAAACTAACAGAACTAATTAACTCCAGTTTAGTTTCTTATATGCGACATTAAGATTAGAGGACAGCTAGACAGCTAGTGTTCCAAGCTTTGCTCTTGACCACAGCGGAGGCAAAAAAGACTCTCAGCATAAACTACTCCATCTGCATCAAACCCATCCAAATCGTGACCAGAACATTCTGCTACTTCTCCTTTCTCATCCAACTTCATCAAACTTGTACCACACACTGCAACAACTTGACCATCTTTGGTGAAGCATATTGGTGAAATGTAGTAAGCCAGAAGTTCATCAGCAAGAGACAAGCACATATGCATACTCCAAGATGATTCCACCCCATATTCTCTCATCATCCAAATCTCAATTTGGTTTGAATTATTCGTTCCAATTAGACTAAGACATCCTCCAAGTTCTTTCAATTCACATGTTTCATAATTGAAATCACCAGGCAAAGGCACAAATTCACGTAAACTCTTTTCTGTTAAATCCAATGATATTATTGCTGCGTGTGATGAAGCTTGCCCCGCTTCAGCACACAAAGCCAACCAATGAATAGCACCGTTTAAGGTCGAACCAGCCACTGAACCAGTGCTAGGATCAGGTCGATCGATTGGACTGATAAATGTGAAACATCCCTCAAGTTGTTTCCATGAATTGGTTCTCACAGAGAAGATATGAATCTCTGTACCAGAAACAGATGAACTGTTGGAGTTGTATAATGCTAACACTATTAAGTAATCATCAGTGAATGAATCATAACCAAAGCCATACAGAAATGCAGAAAGCTGAGAAGGAATTGGTGGGATATTTTTGCAGACACGGGTTGAAGGGTTCCATATAACAAGCTGAGAATCAGAATCAAGCTCTAGAAACAAGAACCCTCTGCAATAACCCATAATCTGCAATTGATAGGATGGTGAGCTACAAGGAAAACCGAGGCTTACAAAAGAAGCAGCATCATGAAGAGGCGCATTGAGATCTAGAGATTGAAATTTGGAAGAGAGTTTCTGAAGAATAAAAGTAAAAGATTCGATGGGTGTGTAGGGAAGAGTGTTGAAAATGCAAATCTACGAAATGGGGACTAGAGATGAGAGAGAGCCAGGGCTTGGAGACACACCTGAAACGCAGGAGAGATTTGATGGGCAAGCGCAGATGGATTTCCAATATAACTTCTTCGGGAAGATTCTCCATGGTTATGGGTATGAGCTATTGTATTTGGACCAAAGATACAAGCTTGTGGTTATGGGTGTGTGTATTCATTTGGAAGGCTATAGAATGAGTTATACGCAGCTTTTTCCCGGAAAATACTTTGTCAATACGTCGGCGCCGAAAAGAACCTGGTCATGTCAACAACGTGTTGGCTCCACCAAATGAATTGTTCCTCTATTCCATATCCATAGCATGATATACTATCTCCCATTCTTAGAATAAGTTAAATGTTGATTCTTAAAGATTTAATTTCAATTTGAGCAGTGCATATATGTAATCTTATTTTAAATAATTTTTTATTTTAATATATAAAAAAATAAAAAATATAAAGATATATTTAACTGTCCATTTTTCATATAAAAATAAATTTATCATTAAAATTGTAAATTAAAACTTAAGACTGGAAGTTGCACTGACTTGTATTTATTCTTTCACCTGTGCTAAACATGAGAGTAAAATGTTGAATACACAAGTTGAGCAAGCACACGCTCAAAAACACTATCATAAAGACCAAGTAAATAATTGAATAAATTCAACCAACAGAAACCAAAATGCTAATCCAAATTCTCTCATAGTCTAAAAGTTTTTTACCCCTCTGTATCAACATGCCCCTTTAATTAACATCCTCACGGGGCAACTATATAATTAAGTAGGGTGGCTCTGTCTTCTGTCACACAGAGAGACCCCATCGTTTTCCACCTGCTAATCCAGAAAATGAGAAATAAAATGACTTGTGCATACACACACACACATGCGTATAAAAATAAAATTTCCATTTTATACAAATGCCAAAGAGGTATATACCTGTACTAGACAAGGTAGCGCTCAGACAGGATGGCTGCTCCTATGAGAACTGTTAAACACAACAGCGATAAGAAATCGGCCATGCCGAGAGATGACTCAGACAAGAAGTAGATCTTATGAGAGCCACTGTCCCCTTTAAAACCTCTGACTATCATAGCCTGCAGTAATTTATTTGTTGAGCTATCAGAAGGCAACTCTTGAATACATAAGGGACACATGAGATTTTCTAACATGGTCCTTAACAAACTTAGTTGAAATCAACCAGGGCAAATGTTTAAACTGTTTTTGCAGCTTAGAACTGAAAGAAACATAATACAGCTCAGAGTTTTTAAGACATAGATCTGTACAAAGCAGAGACAAGTTAAAATAACTATTACAAAAAAGATAAAAAGGTTAAATGATGATGTTGATGATTGAAACAGATTAATGGTGAATGAATTAAAAAATATGATAAGCTCAAGATGTTTAAACAAGATTGAAAGAGGGCAATGAGATAAAAGAGGTCAGATCCATGCAAATTTGACAAACCTGAGAAATTTGCTCTGCATGGCTGAAGATATTTTTGAATATGCGCCGGAAGTAGTTAAAAAAAACTGTAGTCATGAACCCAGAAGGGAAAAAGGAAAGGAAAACAATCATCAAAATGAAGAAGTATCTTCGCTAATTCATTTAAAGGTTGTGAATTGAAACTGGATTTAACATTAACCTACGTTGTTCGAATAGAAAGGAACAAATGGACTTCAGTTTTAGCTATTTTATTCAGGATCAATCCTGACAGATTATTATAGTAACATGCTATAGAACACTATTCCAAATATTCAGTTCAGGATATCAGATCATGATCCAATACCTACATATCAATTGCTTATGCATAGACATTCTATAAGAATCAATGTTAAGTCTAGAGAATCTAAATAAGATTAATGAACAAGACAATTTTAGATGATACCCATCAATTGGTAATGTGAAAAATAAAACAGCAAAAAGCTGTACTATGCCTTCCATTGTCTGCTGATGCCCGGAATCAAGAGCAAGAGCAATAAATATTTACTTACCATCAATTGTCTCCAAAACAGTTAGCTGTTTCCAATTTATCCTTCGAGATATAATCCCCAAAGCAACATTCCGAACCTGCAACGAAATAGGGGAAGAAGGGAAATTCGATTCATGAGTTTGGCCAAATTAGGTTACAAGTTAGAACTATTGAAGCTGCTGTTGTTGTGCATTATTTCAGTCTCTTTTCCTTGCAATGCGATGAAATCAGTGTTGATTATTAATAATATATCCTTTAGAAAATTGCCACATCAAAAGTAAAAAATGCTGTTCCTTTGCACCAACTGAACGGAACATGATATTGAAAGCTAAAAAACTAAACCTCACATTATCAAATAATATTGATGCAGAAATCTTCGCTATTCTCTTACCTCATCAAAAACTAGACTGACGAATCTCAATGAGAGCAGAAGGGTAAGCACAATTTCTGACACAGAGACGCCTATGTGTCTTAGAGGGAGCAAAAACCATCGCAGTGCAAATGCTAGTTGTTCTGGGGTTGTGGTTGCAAGGCAGAGGCTCGCACTTTGAAATACCTTTCAAATGAACAAAAAGCCAATTCTCATACACACAAGTCATGACTTCTGTATAAAGTGCAAAACAAATGTGTACTAGCTTTTAATTAAAGGGAAAACCCCAAAAAAGTGACTACTGAATTTCAAAATGCCAAATCAGGAATTACTATAAAAATGGGTTGTCATTTGCTCTTTGAATGTAGTTATTTTCTTTATGAGTATAGTAACGAATACTGATTTGGAATTTTGAAATTCAGCTATCACTTTTTTGGGATTTTCCCTTAATTAAATGCCAAAGATGTTAAAAGTGAAAGAAAGTAGAGGAAGAAGTGAGGAAAGTCCCTTACAATGAAAGTTAAACATGCAGCGGTGCTTGCAACAGATAAGCCTTTCCTTGTAAAGGTTAGCGGACCTAACTTCATGATTACATAAGAATAACCTCTTAAAGATACAGGAAGATTAGGAAGACCCATCATGGCAGGAGGTGGGGTTCTTGACTGGACGAGTGGGGGTACACCATCTGAACCAAGCCCTAACATTATGAATAACAATCCTGAGAGTAAATACACTCTTGCCAATTGATCCTGCACAATCGTAGAATGAGGAAATTCTTTAACTAGCACATCATCCCAATATGGAAACAAATATAAATTTGTCAACAAGTCTCAGTGACGAGATAAAAGAGGGGAGGGGGAATGTTGTGCTTGGTGCAAAAGGTCCTTCACTTACAATATACTAGTTTGATCATCCTTCTTCAGGGACTAAGAGTAAGTAAGATTTCAAATGGGTTAAATTATTTCATGAAATAAGCAATCAACTATGAGCATAGTTGAATATGAAAGACAGGCTAAATACCACTAGTGAAGGCAAAGGGGGGAAACAGCGGACATCAGGTAGAGCATCTGACAACACCGTGGACCTCAAATTGATGAACAACGCACCAATATACATTTTATAAAGCATTAAACAAGCCATCTACATATGCATATGGCATCATGGCTTAAGGACAACCACCTCAGCTGGCATAATGAACTTGGCACATCCATGACGTTTGTGCATGTGTTGTGAAAATCTTGAGTTGGATAGGATTCTATCATCAGCATAACTTTAAGGGGGCATCAAGGCTTAATAACGACTAACCAATACCTCTACCCCCTGAGCCAGATGAGTCAATAGCTTCAAATTACTTACCACCCAAACGTCTTTTGGCAGAGTTGAAATTGACAGCAGAGTCAAATATATAACTAATCCAAAGCGCATGACTATATGTGATCTTGCTGGCAGAACAACCAAAGCCAAAACCCATACCTGTAAAAGTAGCCTGATTTAATTATAAAAAAGCAAGCAAGCGCGCGCACAAATTGGAGACAATCAAAAAAATACAGCCAGACAGTAGATTCTGTAATATCAAACAATTGCTGATCATTCCACCATGATTTATGGATAATGAGAAATCTTCAACATTTATATATAGACCATATCTAAAGCACTCCAACTTGTATAAAAGAAAACTTCATTACCATGTTCAAATAACTTTATTCAAGAACTCAGCTAATAAAAAATAATTACCATATCCTCATTTCCTATTTTATGAAATGGATGGAAATTGGTGTGCTCATCAATTTGCTCATGTTTCAATTTCGGTAATTACATTGCCCTCTATCAACGACTTCTAGGACATTTTAAGGATAACACAAATTACACCGGGCAGTAGCAAACCAAAGCTATACTTTTCTTAGTAAACATAAAAGGAAAAACCCATGTTAGCAATCTCAGGAATAATATACTTAGTTGTCATTGCCAAGTATATAAAGGTATATGACAGGGAATTAAACTATTATTTTGCACCTGCTATTATCCATTCACCAATAAAATATTGCAACCTCAAAATCAAAGAGCTTCCTTAAACAATTTCATCTCAATTCATTGACAAAACTCGAGAATCCAGGATCCTATAATAAAAACCTTAAAATTGATTTCGAACTCACTCACCAATTTGATTCGGGGGTCTATAGAATGGAGAAACGTGGTGGGTGAAGCTATGTACTGACCAATTGGGCTAGCAGTGGCACCTGCAATCAATCTGAGAACTTTATCAGCAGCGAGAGCGCTGGTGGGTATCCACTTAGACCAATTTGTTGTGCCACCATTATCACCAGCTGAAGCTCTAATTTGAAGGCCCGTCTTCTTCACCACCCAAAGGGTCGTCTTCGCCTGAAGGAATGCACAGGGGGTTGGGCCAAATTTTGGGAAAGTTACGGACTTAGGACCAGAATTTAGAGGTATAGTCGATGGGGAAGCGACCAAAAGAAAAGCGCCATGCTTACAGTTCATGGGTAAGTGTCAAACTGTAAAGGAGAGGGAAATGAAATGAAGATAAAGTTTGTCGCGATAATCCAATTTGACAAACTCTATGATTCGTAGTGCAATTGATTGTTTTCCAGGGAACGCTTCGATGCATAGTTTCAATGCTTCATGCTTCCTTATTAGCGTTCCTGTGCCCGCGCTGAGATTTCCCAGGAATGCCGGCACAACTTCAACCGGCGGATTATTGATATTTCTTTTCTAAACCAACAAAGATTTGAAATTAGTCACGCTCAAAAACAATTATTCAATTTTTAGTCAAAAATTAGTCCCAGGAACAAGTGAACATCGACAACAAATAAAGAAAAATATAGGTCAAAACAATTATTCAATTTTTTAGTTGAGAACATTATTCAAAAATTATACAAGCTATGACTTTAGTACTATCATCCGCTCATAACCTTGGGATTAATGATTCTGAGCATATGTTTCTTAACCACGTAGTTGAGTTCAACCTCTTGTGAATACAAGTCTGATGTGAGCTCCTTTAAAAATTTTGATTGAAGGATAAAAAAAACAAAAGCACAAGGGATGAAAATTTAAAAAGAAAATAGCAAAAAAAAACCATGAAATTAAAAAAATTGCCCACAAGAATTGTTCGTAAAATTATTATTAAAATCCATACTATTATTTTTAAAACCCATATTAATATCGTCATGGGTCCTAATTTACAATTTTTCTAATTTCACTGTCTTTTTTTGTGATTTTGTCAAATTTAAATAATTATTATTTGACAAAAAAAAAGTATAAAAATGAATATTACAAGAATGGCCGCTGCATAATGCATATACTTGAGACGTCTGTAAAGTCCAAACACAACAACTGGGCATTTGGTCTAGTGGTATGATTCTCGCTTCGGGTGCGAGAGGTCCCGAGTTCGATTCTCGGAATGCCCCTTTTTCACGTTATCTTAATATCTCATGGTACCCAATGATTTGCTTTTTCACTCAACGAATCATTTTCATGAACAGTGCTTTTCTGTTGTGTCTTCTGTCTCACAATCATCTTTTTTTTTTTTTTTTCCAGATTCATTTACACGCGCGCGCGCGCACAAATGAACTGAAATATGGCAGTGACTGGTAGTGAAAAACTGAAAATGCACACAAACAAATTACAATTTTAACAATCCATGTATAGTTACTGTCTCTCAGACATAAAATAAAAGAACAAAAGAAAAGGTGTAAACAACTGTGATTGATATTGTGGAATATCTTGCAGGACTTGCTATGCCATCATCATTCTGTATAGCTTATAATTAGAATCAGCCAGAAACCCCTGCATGGATCACACCAGTGCACAACATTTGTGTTCCACTCACAACTATTGTGATAATCTCCAGAGTGCGCTGCAAGAATTAATGCACAATATAATCTTTGTTGTATCTCTCTGCCCAACAAGTCTAGATCTTTAATTTCTTGCCAAGATTATTGATGATGAAGTAAATGCTTACCAGGTTTGAGTCAGTCCAGCCAAGTTCAATCTCTTTACAAGCCAATCTGCAGCATATATATAAAAGGCAATTGATGAAATTAATGAACAGGTGAGTGAGTACTGGATGAATAAAAGGAGAGATTTAATGATAAGAGTGATGATTACCCCATGGCAAGTAAAGTGAGAGCCCAAGATGTGAGTGAAGAAGTGGCTGCTGCATATAAGCTAGGGACCCTCCAACTGGAAACATTCTGCAATCCTGTCAGTGAGGTGGTGAATCCCACCACACCAGCAATCAGAGAGAAGAGTATGAACACCCCAGTTGCTGCATTCCCCATTGGGAAATATATTGGAAATAACTGAACTGGAGGCGACAGATTTGAGGCTGCATTCCCATAACCATCATTGTTATTTTTTTTTTTTAATCATCAATCAATAAATTTCAAACACGTAACTTTACTCAAAGGAAAACACAATTCTTTTCTACTCGATCCAACCCAGCCATTAAACTTAAATCAATATATATATATATATATATATATCAATGGGAAAATTACTGAAAAAAAATCTCTCCTTGCAAAATTTATTGTGCAAAATACTTAAGAACTCAGGTCTTTAAGCTGCGGGTAACTCCTTCTCAGTTACGTGCAAATGTCTTTTGTTTTGTACATCTGCGTACAACTGAAGAAGGGTTACACCTGTTGAAGATAAGTTGCATCATGCATGATCCTTAAACAAATCTGATACACCTTTGGACAATAAAATTTGCAGTGGGGGGATTTTTCAGCAATTTTCCCTATATCAATGAATGCATAAAGCAATAAAATTTATGGATTCACACACATTGCTCATAAGCAATAAATAATGCGGCTCATTTATCGCAATTCTGTGAAATACAGCTGCGGGTGTGGTGTGTGTGTGTGTGTGTGGGGTTAGTTATTTAACAGCAAGATTTTCTTGAGTGATCTATGAACATATGAAGAACTTATATATATGAATACCTGTTTCACGAGATCTTTGAATGCCGTGGTTCATTGCCCAGGAAGCAATTGCTGTGACAATGAAGTACAAAACTAGGTTCAGTACCAAGAGGATGGAGGCTACTGATTTTTGTCCTCCAGTTGCCATGGTCCTCTACTATAAGCTTTAAGCTAAAAGCCTGACAAAATCTGATGAACTTGTTTATGTTTTTGTATGGGAGTTCGATCGACAAGATGAGATTGATTTATGGTCCCCTTTATTTTCACAGCGATGGTATGTCGATTCCTAGCTTGCTGTTACCATGGAAATCATTTCCTTCCGTATGAAGAAAAGACTTGGATTCCTTTCCCCCATTCTTTAGCTAGCCGCCTGAAGGGGAAAAGAATCTTTTGTACACACACACATAGCACAAAAGATTAGATTTTTTTTTTCCTCCTTTTCTGTTTAAACTTGATTATCAAGGCGTTTTCCTTATTTTTAATGAAATATTATTTCCTCTTCTGCATGAAATTAAACAAACCCATGAATTATGAAAATGTTAATTAGAGAATGAACTTTAGTATCCAATTCAAATTTAATTTTAAATTATTATAAGTCAAAACTCAGATAATTAAATTCAATCAGTAGTAGATAAATTTATATATTAGCAGATGAACGTGCATTATTGGCTGCAAAAAGATTAAAATTTAATTATGTAAATGAGGCAGAATCATAGAAAACTAGGAAAATCAAAGTCTCCTGAAGAGACTAATACCATAATATATACAATTATGATATGTTATCCCTTCAGCGTATTATTAGAAGTACAAGAAAAGAATCCTAATAGTAATAAGACATTCTGTACAACAAAGTTGTCGGCTCTGGGCCTATTTGGAAAGGCTTAAAAAATCCCATATAAGTATATTTCACGTAAATTGAGATAAAACTTCTCTCACATACTTGTCTCATATTTCATAAATCATTATTAAAAAATTACTTATAAACTACTTATAAGTTGTTCCAAACACGCCCTCTATTAATGAGCCCATTATTGTATCCCCCATCATCATCATGATGAAGATTGAAGAGCATGAAGGCTGGCCGCTAAACTGTCCTGCTATTACAAAAGCCAAAGGAAAAAAAAAAACAAACAACAACAAAAAATTACATAATCAGTTTTTTAGGACTAGAATTGGTGTTCCAAAAGATATATTTAACTAATTTGTACAAATTAAAGAAGTGAGATAAATTAACTAATTGTAACAAATGCTATATGACCTCTTGAAAATACCCGTACGTAATATTAGATGATATATTAATTTATAAGTTAGATAAATTAATTTAAAGAAAATAATAAATATGAATAATAAAATAAATTATGATATTAAGCAAAACCGGCTCCTTGGAGCCAGTGATGAGTACATGTAGATCTATTAGAAGTAGCTAGTACTGCGTCATGCAGAAGGCCAGCACCGACTTCTCATAAGCCCACCTTACATGATAGTAGTAATTGATAACTTCTATTTACAATGAAATAATTCGTTCATAACATTACTTACATCTTCGGTAAATAAAAAAAAAAATGAAGCATATATTTAGTCATTTACTTTATATAAAGTTTTAATTTGACCCATTAACTTTAAAAAATATGTTTTTAATTATTTACAGAAGACATTATTAATCGCTGTTATTATTAATAAGAGACTATTTAACGAATTTATATATATTAAGTAAGTCAAATAAATTAATAAATTATAATAAATATAACATAATCTCCATAAAATACTTGTGTATAAGTGTATAACATTAGCATATACATATATATATATATTCATAAGTTAGGTAAATTAGTTTTAGGAAAAAAAAATGAAGCACATATTTAGTCATTTATTTTATATAAAGTTTTAATTTGACCCCTTAACTTTAAAAAAATATATTTTTAATCATTCAACTCTAAAATCATTAGGCTCAAATGATTTTTTTTTTGTAACAATTATGGTTAATTTGAAAATTAAATTAAAAATGTTAGCATTTAAGAATATTTTATTAATATTTAAGACCTCAATATTATTATTTTTTATTAGTAATTTTAAGATTCAAAAACTAAAAGTATGCTTTTAAAGTTAAAAAACTAAATTAAAATCTATGTTAAAATAGTAAATATATACTTTAGTTAGAGAAAACGATAAACACGAGAGATAAAAAGTAAAGAATGTCAAAAGTACCTGAAAGTCAAGTACTGAGGAAACTAGCTGTCAAAGGGAGGGAATGTATGGTCTCAGTATATTGAACCCAGGATTTGTGTGGACGACCCCAGAACTCAAGATATTCTAGTAGGTTTCCACTGCCGTCACTCCATTTTGATAATCCTATACCACTATCTACGGCAAGAATTTCCCCATCTTTGGTGAAGCATAATGGCAAAATATAACTGATCTTCCTTTGACCTGACAAAGATATCAACTTGGTCCAAGATGACTTCACTCCATATTCTCTCATCCTCCATATCTTAACTTCACCCAAGGAGTTGTTTTGTAATAAGAAGTTATAGTAAGGAATCCTCCAAGCACTCCCAGATCATAGTTCATGCAATTATCATCATCATCAGGTGGCCCAGGAATTTCTCGTAAATCCTTTGTTGTTATATCCAATGCAATGATCTTTGCTTCTACCTGGGGTGGATCACAACACGAGATTAACCAATGAATTGAGCCGTTCAGGAAAGAACCAGATTTAACTGGGAAAGGGATTGTTATCTTGGGAAGTTGGTAACTATCACTGATAGTAAGTTTTTGCCATGAATTGGTTCTTAGAGAGAAGATCACAAAGCTTTCCAACCAAGATGGATCATTGAAGTTAAATGCGACCACTAAGTAATCATCAACGGATTCATCATAACAAAAGCCATACGAAATTGTAGGTACCCATGGAAGCGGAGGATTTGAGATCTGCTTGTGGAGACCTGTAGTGGGATTCCATAGAAAAAGAAGTTGGTCTTTGACGAGCATGAGGAGCAGAAAGCCTCTGCAAGAAGTAATGATGTTAATATCAGTGTATGGTTTGATAAGGGGGAAATCAAGCTCGATAGTAGCAGAATGATCATTGAATGAGGCATTGATATCTATGGACCTTATTCGTTCTGGAGGATTTGTGTAAAGGAATCGATGGGCGTGTTGGGAAGAAGATCGCTGAAAATGCAGATCGGTGAATTTAGGGCTAGAGATCAATGAGTACCATGACTTGGATAAACACTTGCAACGCAGGATAGATTTAAAGTCAGGCAAGCGAAGAAGGATTTCCATTCTCAAATCTTCAGCAAGCTTCTCCATGGTTTCCTGAGGGGGTTGGGAGGGGCTTGTGAAGGTGGCCGGGAAATCAAGGAGAAGGCGAGTTATGGCAGCGGCCGTAGCTCGAGAAGATTTTCATTATTTTATTTTGAAATCCAAAAGTTGATATTTCTGCATTTGTTTTTTATTTTGGACTATTGATTGGCTCGATTCGATTTGGACATCGGAAGAGAAGATATTGAGATTTTAAAATATAAACAAATTTGGGATTGCGCCGAAAATCATGTGAGCAAAAAGTACCCTCCGTTCACCCCAAAAAAAAAAAAAGCACCCTCTAGTTTTAATTTGAAAAAAACAATTGCTTCTGATAAGAGAATATCTAGGAAAAATAATACATAAAAAAGCTTGAAAATGTGAAATGCCAATTGAAAAGTTAAGAAAATATAATGACAGAAAAGATAGTCCTTTCCAAATTGAAATTTAAAATTCAGTGAAATGACAAAAATACTCTTTGTTTTTTTAAAAAAAACCTCAGTCCCTCACCGGTGGCTGGCAACCACTGCCTACGAATGGCCGCCGGCCACCGGTGTGGTGAATGCTGTTGAAATTTTTCATCACAATATATATGGGAGAATATGGTTCAAAGTGGAGGGGTGGGATTTGATCCCACAACTCTTTAGCCATTTGGGCCAACAAAAGAGAAAGATAACCATTGAAACATCAAAAAGTTCTTAACTTTATAATGCAAGCAAAAATATAAGTTAAGTCTTTTACTGTGACTTCAGTCCGTGACAACAATTTACTTGAGGATAACAAGTCTTAATTGAAAAATAACAAGTCTAAATTTGATATTAACAAATCAACTTTTCCTGATACATAATAAAAAGTAACATGTATATTAATTAAAAATAACCATAATTTATTTGAAAATAACACGTCTTTATTAAAAAAACAACAAGTTTAAACTTGAAATTAACAATGTGTCTTTTCCTGATACATAATAAGAAATAGTATGTACATTAATTAAAAATGACTATAATTTTTTACCAAAAAAAAAAGACTATAATTTATTTGAAAATGACATGTCTTTAGTGGAAAATAACAACAATTATTTGGAAATGTGCATGTTATTTCTTGTTATGTATCAAGAAAAGTTGCTTTGTTAATATCAAGTTTAGACTTATCGTTTTCCAATAAAGACGTGTCCTTTTCAAATAAATTATGATCATTTTTAATTAATGTACATGTTATTTCTTATTATGTATCAGGAAAAGACACATTGTTAATCTCAAGTTTAGACTTGTCATTTTCCAGTAAAGACGTGTCATTTTCAAATAAATTATGGTTATTTTTAATTAATGTACATGTTACTTCTTGTTATGTATCAGGAAAAGTTGCTTTGTTAATATCAAATTTAGACTTGTTATTTCTTAATTACGACTTGTCATCCTCAGGTAAATTGTTGTCATAAGCTGAAGTCACAGTAAAAAAGTCAACTTATATTTTTGTTTGCATTATAAGGTTAAAAAAAAATTTTTGATGACCCAATAGTTATCTTTCTTTTTGTTGGCCCAAATGGCCAAGGGGTTGTGGAATCAAATCCCACCCCTGCCACTTTGAACTAAGGCTGTTCATGGGACAGATTGGGACCAGAATAGGCCCGTCCCGGTTCCATCCCAATGAACAGTAATGGGAAGAAATCTGTCCCGTGTCCCGGCCCGTCCTAGGATTGTCCCAGTCTCGGTCGAGACGGGACCGGGACATCCCGAAGTTTTTTTAAAAAATTTTTTTAATTTTTTTTAAAAATCTGATTTTTTTAATTATATTTTTTTGGAGTTAAACCTTATAAAAACATCTTTTTATTTTTTATTTATTTGTTTTGGGCACTCTTAAATAAAAGCTCAAAATATTACATATAATAGTCATTAAAAACTCTAAAAAAAAGCTTTTAACACAATAAAAACTTGCTAAAAATTCTAATCATCAATAATCTCAAATCATTAACAAATATAAAAACTCTAAATAAATATATCCATAGTTCCATACAATAGTCTCAAATCTTAAAAAAATATGAAAAAAAATGATATTATATAAATAGGATAAAAAATTTTAAAAAATTAAAAATAAAAAAAAAGGAACTGGGACGAGACCGGGACGGGACGACCCCGTCCCGTGTCCGTGTCCCGTCCCATCCCGGTCACTTTTTTGTCCCGTCCGAAAAAATTTCGGGACGGATCGTCTGTCCCAATAAGATCGGGACCGGAATGGACCAACGGGACGGGCCGGCCTGAACGCCCCTACTTTGAACCATATTCTCCCATGCAAAAATATATATATTGTGACAAAAAAAACTTCACCAGTGGCTGGCTGTGGATGCCAGCTGCCGACCCCTTTGAGGGGTTGAGTTTTTTTTTTAAAAA